TGTGATCCCAGTGAGAAAACGAGATCAACTAATATTAGCCAAGTGACACTTCAGGGCAAGTTGTATGACTATAAAGAAAACATCTTAAGTTCAGTCTCTTACAGGAGATACATGTATTTTTACAAGGTGATTGAACGATAAAATAGATTTCTGTGTCTTGTACCTGTCCAGATTAATTTTTTATGCAGTGTCGGGAACAGGAGAGTTTTGGTGAAAGCACTGGGGAGAGAAAGCCTCAAACAAAGGGGCTCTTGGCTCTGAAATTCTCATTTCAAAAAAAACTTTTTTTTTTTCTCTTCAATCCTTGTTAACTGATCTAATAAAAGTAACTTTTTCCTTTCTCCTCCTGCTAACATTGGTACATTCTTTACTAATTTGTTGGTTCGGGTGTGTAGATGGACTGGGTAAGGCTGATTCATCCTGTTAATTTGGAAGAAAATAAAAATGTAGTTTGAAAGAGTACTCTTTGAATAAAATTCATTGGTGAGCACTGACTCATGTAACAAGCTGCTTGAAGGCTCCCATAGAGGGGACATAGGAAGTAACAAAGCTTTATAATACTGATAAGAAGATTAAACATCAGTAAAGGAAGAAAAGGCAATATGGGGGCAGTCAGTAGATCTTAAAACATGTTATTTGTTTCCAACTTCTAAAACATGATAGAAGCTACCATTGTAATGTGCAGAATGTAGTTAATATGCTGACTAGGGATTATGAGAGAAGCAGTGGCTAATATTAAAGTATTCTGATAAACGTAATAAGATTTTCAGATGTCATTAGAAAGCCAAGGTAATGCCTTCAACTTTTTATATATGTATCTATATACCAGTAGTTTAGGTGAATTAGTTTTAATAATCTGACTGCATCAAACATGACTGCATGAACAGTCTTACTGGTAGAGCAGTCTGAGAGCTGGAAATTTCTTATTTGGCAGAGAGTGACGTGGGTGCTGCAGTCCTAGAGTGCTGTTTTGGCACACCAGGTCTAAATGAACTTCATTTCATGTTCCTCATAAATCCTACTCTCCAGCCAAGTCCTTGCTATCTGTTGATTTATCTTCTTGTTTTCTCTCTTCCTTGATTACTTGTGTGCAATGACTTCATTGCCCTTGTCCAAAATCATCATAAAGGAATGAGGAGCTTAATTTGATTAATTTTTTATTCATGCAAACAGTAATGATTTTTTTCTTTTTTTTTTGTTAACAAGATAAGCACTTGATCGTGTCTTGAAAATAGGCACAGGTTGTCTAATTGATGATGTATTTCTCCTTCTGCATTAATTGTGCTAATTTCTTATCCCTCAGGCTCTCTGTTCAATCAGTAAAAGAGGCTGAGCTTTTTTTTAGAAGCAACTTTAGAATGAAGCTTTAATGTTTCAGACTAAATCATACTGCAGGCAGTATGATTTACTTCTGATTGTGAAACGCTGATATTTTAAATAATTCAAAACTTTTAAAACATACCAGAACATGTTTACTGTAATAAACATTGTTTAGCAAAATAATGTGTAAAATAATGGAAATATTTTTTACCAGCCTTTGCCTCCTTCTTGAACTTGCTTTACTTGGATAACCTGTATATTTTTAACATTTTTTTAGGAATTTTAATTTTAATAATTTTGTAATGGTAATTGGTATCACTTTTGGGCAACTCCATTCTTAAGGTTTTGTTACAGAAAGCCTCATAGATGCTGTATGTTAGCACATCTAGACTTGGTACCGGAAAGGATGAATATCTAGATATTGAAGCTTTGTTTCAGTGTATGGAAAATCTTTGGACTATACTGATGGGGCTGCATGATATACAGCATTCACTAGGTATTAGCACTGGAAATAATTTGGGGTGAATGGGTAGCTCAGACTGTTGTATAATGTACACATGTGATGTTGTATTTTTATAAGCTTAAAATTGCTAAATGGTGAGTATTTAATCTTCTGAATATGAACATGGATGTTTCCAATGAAGTCTCTTCTAAACTGGTCCTTGCTTAGGCGGTAGTTTCTGGAGCACTGGAAAATATGCATCTGTGATTTCCTTTCCTTTTATAAAACTTGCATTATTAGTCTATAATGCAGGAAGTATATTTCTTGGTACAAAACCAGCATATTTTTATAATTGTAGTTTGATTTTATTTGTAATGGTGCCCTCATATCTATGCGGCATTGAAATACAGTAAGACTGCCTAAGAAATCCATGCAAAAAGCACGTCTTCCTATGGGGATGCAGAACTCTGATGGCATAAGGGGTTTTTTGTTGTTTTTTTTTGTGGGTTTGTTTTTTTGTTTTTTTGGTTTTTTTTTATATTTGTTAGTGCTGCACTAATTTTACCAGATACACAAACACCACAGAATTACTGTTCATTCACACTTAGCATCCTGTTAGCATCCCAGTGTAGAACTGGTCTTTCCTTTAAAGCAGAAATTGCCATTTCTGTCCTCCTGTGCTAAGTTTTTCAACATAGGTAGGGAACTGTCTTCAAACAAAAGTGTAGCCACATCTCCTGAGAATGTAGCAGCCTAAAGGCCTTGTTCTCTCAAGTACTGTTAATATTGCTTTTAACTGGCACCACTACCAGAAATGATAGTCCCATCTAGCTCCTTTTGTTCAAATATCTCTTGTGTTAGTTAAGGGGTTTGTGTGATTGCAGTGAACCAACTGAGGAAGATGTACTTTTAAATTTTTTTTCCCTTGAGCTACTCTTAACCAAGATCAGGACCTCCGTCTGTTTGCTTCATGGGGAGGGCAGCTCCCGGTGGACCAGTTTCAGCCCCTACAGAGCAGCATCCTCAGCAGGATATGCTTTCCTTGCCTGTAACTTCTTCCTTTTTCCAAGGAATATTTCTATCAGAAGTATAAAAACTCTTCACCTATTAAGGTGCTTTTTTTTCTTCAAAGTGCATTTGGTAATGTTGTCAGGTGACCGATTTGCAAGATTGGCTTGGAAAGGTTGTCTTCATAAGGAAGCCTGAGCGAATGGGATCAAGCCAATCACTTAACAGTGAAGTTTAGAAACCCTTAAGATTATTCATTTCTCCCTTCCCATTTCTTTTGCTTTTCATTTGGGATAACAGATATGAATAATTAATCTGCATATCTGAGCAGCAGGTAAATGCTATTAACTATTCTCTTCTGTTTATTTTCTGTGAAAAGTGAGCATGGTGCCAAAGACAGGAAGAACTGAAAGAAGTTTATCAGGGCACAAAGCATGTTCTATACTGAAGAGCACTCTGATCATAGTAGAACAAACACCTCCAGCGCCACTGTATCTCCATAGCTAGGTACAGGCACATTGCATTTCTCTACATTTTAGCTCTTGCGCTTTGTCTAGGCCCCAGGCCTCTATGATGCAGGCCCTGAGAAGCTGGCTATGTTAAAATCTGCAACTTCTCTTTCAGATCCGAAACTTAATTTCAGGTGATAGTGTGTCCTTTGTTTTGTAACGTGTGTCGTGGTTTAAACCCAGTCAGGTAATTTGTTTGCTCACTTCCCCCCCTTTTCTTGCCCTCCCCCTGCTCTCGGAGGGACGGAGAGGAGAATCAAAAAGAATGCAACTCCCACGGGTTGAGATAAGAACAGTTTAGTAACTAAGGTATAACACAAATCACTACTGCTACCACCAATGATAATAATGATAAAGGAAATAACAAGGGAAGAGAATACATCATCTCACCACCAGCCGACCGATAACTAGCCCCCCAAGCCCGACCAAGCTCCGACCGATACCTCCTCCAACCCTGCAGTCTCCCAATCCCAGTTACATCCTGGGCATGACGTGCTCTGGTATGGAATACCTCTTTGGTCAGTTTGGTTCAGGTGTCCTGTCTCTGCTTCCTCCTGGCTCCCCCTCCTCCCTGGCAGAGCATGAGGCTCACAAAGTCCTTGGCCAAACCAAAACATTCTTGTTATCAGCTCTGTTCCCGAGCTGAAAGTCAAAACACTGCACTGCACCAGCTATCAAGAAGGAGAAACACGACAGCTACTGCTGAACCCAGGACAACGTGGTATGTACAATTTAAAATACCATGCTCCTTTCCTGTAGGTGGAGGTCAAGCTTCTGTTTTATCTGCTACAACAATACACCTATTAAGTCTCACATTTTGTTTATACTTGCTTTGCACTGAAAGGACAAACTGAAATCTTGTGGTTAAGACAGACTGTGCTTTATTTTGTGGTTGCACAGCACTATGTGTACATTTAATGCTGCTCTTTGTGGCCGAGCACAGAAGCCATTAGGTATTTTGAGCTGCTGAGAATGAAAATAGGTCTTCGGAAAAACATCCTTTCTATCCTTATGCTGCATCTAATGTAGCTCCTACTTTTCCGCTTCAGTGTGTGGCAGTGCTGCATCCTCCTGATGATGCATGAGCTGAACTCTGCTCTCAGATCGGTGATCATGGTACAGAATAAGGGCTTCTTTCTTGGACTCATGTTTTCAGTATTGGATGTAGGTGTTTGTCTATTGGATGATTCCAGAAGAAGAGAATTATTGCTGTAAGGAGTGCTGTATAATTACTGTGCTGAAGACAAATGTTGGGGCTTTTTTATCCCGTTGTGTCCTCAAAATCTCTTTAAAGTCAATGTGTGTCTAAAATGTGGTAAATTAACAGGAATCAGTATATGCAGACTTAAATGTTTGGGTTTCTATCAGTAAGTATTGTGCCTGTGCACATATCTTTTATTATTTGTATGTAGAGTTTTATAACTACTTTGTTCTGTTTCTGTAGACTGAAAGTAGCTTTGGTTTGGCATGCTGGATGGTGACAAAAAAATTCTAGCCTTTATGACTCTGTTCAATATACAGTTTATACCATTACTGCTTGTCTCCTGCCTTTTGGGTCAGTGAGAGTAGAAAACAGTTCCTTATAATTTTTTGCACTGATTTCAGAAGACTGTTATTCATTTGTATCATTATACACTGGATATATCATTAATCGTTTAACCATAAGAGTTTTATTGTGTATAATATGCTGTAATATTTACATATTGCCTTGTCTCTTGCAGATCTAGAAATGGCAATTGCATATTGGAATTTAGTATTGTCAGGAAGATTTAAATTTCTAGAGCTTTGGAATAAATTTTTGTTGGTAAGTATGTACCCTATTCCTTCCTGACTGTCTTCGTCCACAGCAGTTTGATTTGCAGCCTGTGTGTTCAACAATAAAGAAAAAGGATCTCTCAATAGTTCCTTCAAACTTTTTCCTTTTTGAAAGCCAATATAAAATATTCTTAAATCAAGCCAAATTAAATCTTTCCTATCTTGTTTTCTAATTGAGAAGAATGCAAAAAGATGTAGCAGAACAATAGAGAATTCTGCTTGCTTGATCCTGTATCCTCCTACTGATGAAAGCTTCTGCATGAAAGGAGGCCATGACTGTAGATTGAACTTATGTTGTCTTTATTCTCAAGACAACTGTGATTATCGTCAACCATGTATTTTACCATGCTCTGCCTTTTGTGGTACTAATGCATAAACTCAGTCTTTTTTTAAATGTCAATTCTGTTACGACTGACTTAACCTGAGACTTTTCTTTTTAAAAGAAAGTTCTTGCCTAAGTAATTACTTCAACTTATTTTTTAGATAATACTTACGAACCGATCTTGGCATTTTTCTATTACCAGTGCTATTCTGTGGGCAGTGGAGTAAAAATGCATAAATTAAACTTTAAAAATTTCAAAATATTCCTGTTAAAGACTTGATTCATCCATCCATTTTTATGCATTCACGTTTCTGTGTACTTGCAAAAAACCCCAAACACTGTCCATAATGTTACATAATTTGTAATTTACCTTGTTATTGTCTTCTTTTCTGTATTTTAGGAGAATTAAGAAATCTTTCTGCGTTTTGTTCTGTAACCACCAATGCCTAATAGGGGAAGTGTACACCTTTTGCAATGTTTTCTGAAGTGTTTTCAAAATTTTGAACAGTATTTTTTGTATTCACTGAATAAAGTACCAATTTCATCAAGAGAACTTGTGAAAACATTTCATGTTTTAATTGCCTTAATATATACATAAATGCATCTTCAGATATAACTTAAGAAAAGTCTTAGTGGTTTTTCCCCACTGGGCTATGTTTGTTACAGCGGACAGTTCTGCAGATCTCTGCTTCAATCTAGATGAAGTGCTATGAAATGTCTTATTTTGCTACAAATATTTAACCTAAATATTTACCTTAAAAGAAATTACATCAGCCTCGTTTTTATCAGCTTCCAGATTTTTCAAATGAAATTTGTTCTTCTCAATACTTTAAAGTATTACTGCTTAAAAAACAAACAACCAAAAAACGCACCCCACAATACAAAACCAAAACCACAAAACCCCAATACTTCACCAAAAAGTCTTTTCATGTAGTTGCACTTTTTTACTGCGAACCAGAACTAGATGTTGAAATTTAATTCCCTGTTAATCACCCGCTATCTACAGGTAATGCAGAAGTATCAGCAGATGAAGGGAGATGTAGATGGTCTGACTTGATGATGCTCCCACATGCTTAGTAGTTGTGTTTTGCCACACACTCTCTGTTCTTGGGAGTGCTAACTTTAAAAGTTGAGGATTCTGAATAGGACTGAAGTGTTTTGAAGTACTGCTCAAACCAGCCAGGTGGCAACCAGTAGTTGTGAATGGGGTGATGCAGAAAGAGTATGTCTTAAATCAGGCAAGGTGGCAGTGGAAAACGGCAGACTGGGGAGAAAGGAGACCGGGCAGAAGTGGAGCAAGTGCAGGTAGTGCATTATGGTGAAGAACAGTATAGCTGAAGAGAGGCTGAGATGCACGATTGATCTGGAAGGCAGCCTGGGAGTAAGTGAGAAGAACATAGGTGCAACTGTAACCAAAAAGTTGAAGGAGAGGCTGGGTAAGCATATGCAAAAAGGGATAAGGAAAAAAGGGCTGAAGTTTAAATGGTAGAATGCTAACCCATGGCTGCCCAGTTTCAAAACCTGGAATAGATGTCATTAGAAGTATAAATGGAATTGCTTTATTGTTTTCCATAGTAAGCTAAAAACACACTGAAAGCAGAAGAAATAAAACAACTCTTAAAGAATTCTTAGACTTTTTTCAGTTGCATTTTTGTTTTGTAGCTTCCTTTGGAAGCTGTGAACTTTATTGCAGAGAAAAAAAAAGAGCAAGAAGAAAAAATATTTGTGAAATATTTCTGTGTATGTCAATACAAAACACTACTGTAAAATTTGAAAATAGCTTGGATTGAACAATATCATTTTTTCTCCTTTATAGGAACATCATAAAAGATCAATTCCAAAAGATACTTGGAATCTTTTGTTAGACTTCGGAAATATGATTGCAGATGATATGTCCAACTATGATGAGGAAGGTAAGCAGCACTTGAATATCTTCAAAAATTGGTGCAGCAGAATTAAAATTTTGCTTTAAATTAATAGAAGGTGCTGCTATCTTCTGTCTTAATTTGTTTACCCTTAGAGGTTTAGCTGCAATTATAGTGTCATAGTTGTTGCCAAAACAGTAATGATAAGAAGATTAACTAGCTTGCTGTAATATGTAAATAGGAGATACTGTCACTCCATGAGATAGCACATGCTGTTTAAACCTGTCATGCTACAGGAATTTCAGTGAAACTTTTTTTTTTTGTACAGAAGTGCTGCTAACTGCAAGGAAATACGTAATTTTTCTGCTTGCAAGGATATCTACCTGAACATTGTTTTTTTTACCAACCTAAAAACAATTTACGCTCTTGTTGCTAATCCTTCAAATCTTGTTTTGGGATGGCTGTGTACAGAAATATTTCCTAAGTTGTAAATGGCTTGAATAGGGATGCCATGGTTTTGCCATCAGCAAACGTTTATAAACTTTCTAGTGTGGATTTTTATGCTGTAAATACAAATCTTAGTTTTTAGTTTCTACTAAGAACTGTTACTGCAAGAAGAGATTCAGATGTTTAATTTATTAGGTACTTTTTTCAAGTGTTTATCATGTCACGCTTGTTAAAGCTGGACTAGGCCAGAAATGTCAAAGTGAATTTCCGATACTTCATGTTTAGAGACTGCACCAGTTTATTGCTGATAATGTTACATTAATTTCTGAATTGCGTAACTTCTTTTCAGGAGCGTGGCCTGTTCTTATAGATGATTTTGTGGAATATGCACGACCAGTAGTCACAGGAGGAAAACGTAAAGCTTCCTAACACCAGGCTTGTCAATATGGACTAAACCTGTGTTCTGAACTGCATTAGGTAATGAAGACTTGTTAGCTGATAACTGTGCACATTGTTGCTGGTTTCAGTGCTTGTGATGAGATTCTGCAGACAAAACAGAAATTCTTCCTTTCTGCTTAAAGAAAATGATGGCTGACTCGTGGACACTTGAACAAACTCAGAAGATAGTCCAGGCTGTTTGTGGGCTACTGGCTTCAATTATTGTCCTGGTTGTATCTTATAGGATGTAGATTTTGCATGATTTTATACTTTGGAGAAGTTTAACTAGAGGCAATTTTATTAAAGTTTTGACAGCACAGCATGCCATTCAGTTCATGATCCAGAGTGAACACCAGCAGTTACATAAATAAGACTGTATTATATTGTACTTATATTAAAAGCAGTATTTGTGGTATATAAATTAAATCCCTAAATAAAACTTATGCAGTATGTTGTATTTTTATCAAAGTTAGCTCCATGGATCTGTCCTAATACAGAATTGTAACAGAACAGAAAAAAAAAATTATGCTTCTTTTACCTGTTACAAAAATTTAAAATTTGTATTTTGAAGTCCTAGATGTAGAGATGGATTACATCCAGCCTTTTATTTTCTCTGGGTGAGATGAACTTCCTCATTATTCTTCTTGAAGTGCTAGGACATGTAGCAGTAGCGTTGCTGAGGAAGGCGTGCTGCTCTTACGCTATGTTGCAACTCTTTAATGCCCATTTTAAAGTAGACATTAAACAACCAAAGATTCTTTTATAATTCATGTATGATTATCATAAATCAGTTACGCTTCATTGTGTGTGTTTTATTAATTTTAAATAAGGAACTGTTGGACTATGACTTTCAGTTTTATTTGTAGTATGACCCATATCATAAATGCTAGCTGGATGCAGCATCGTTACAAATACAGTTCCTGGCACTTCTTGCAGATAACATATGTGAATAAGCCCAAAACCTTAAATGGTTGGCTTCCACTTTGGAGTGATAAGTAGAAGCAAGGAGACTTTATATTAATGATGGTAAGCATTCATGCTTCTGGATGTATTGTGCATTCAATTTTATTTAAGGAAAAAAAAAAGTAAAGTAATGCAATACCATTGATTTCAAGGTGAGAAGGTGAGTGGAGTTGAACCAGTTTTTACCAAATCTGAATTTGTTTAGTCATTTGTTTCCCCCCTCTCACCAGCCATTGGTTATGAGGTGTACAGTGTCTTCCAATGCCTGAGCACAAAAAAGTTTTATCAGTATTCAACATGTCTTCACACAGGGCTCTTTCAGATGCTACCTCATCAAAATTAGTTTGTCATAGCCACTGTAAAAGTTTGTTAAAACAGAGTTGCTAAAAAATATGTGCAGCTATGATCAGTATGTTTTCTGTAATCAGAGCTAAATAGATGCAAGATTTTTGGAGAAGATGGTACATTAAGTTTGTAATTTAGATCTGTTCGGATCACATCAGATCATTTAAGTATTGCATGACAGCATACTACTATGTTTTGTAGTTATGACAGTATAAAAGCTTACAATATTCTCTTAAACTCTAATATTTAGAGTTTCATATAAGCAGTCAGCTTTTCATTTGTGTCAATGCAACCTACAAGAATGTACATGCTGCATACAGAAAGATTACCTTCATTCTTCTGCTTGAGAGAATTTAGGTAAGTTGTGTATGATATTTAAAAAGTAAGATTAGGACAAATGTGAACATACTAGCAAATTTTCTATAATAAGAACATAGCAGGCAAGTTACAGATGCCCCATGAGTGATTTATTAGTAGTAGTCTTTCTACCCTAAGCGATATTTGTAAATGTTAGATCTTGCATGGCAGCCACTAGATGTCAGAGTCTCAGTCTTCAGATGCCTCTCTCTTCTGTGTAGCATTAGGTAATAAATAATATTAAGCCAAATTATTACTTTTTGACTGCATCTTTCTGAAAGGACATTTGTGTACATAAATACAGGTATTTTGCAGAAGTCAACAGATTTAAAACCAGTATTGTGCTCTTTTTAATACATTTGACTTACCTCCTCTTTCTTCCCAAAACAAGCTATTTCTATAGATGTCCAGTAGGCATTGGACAGTGTGTAATATCTCGTAGCATCAAGTGCATTTATCTAGCCAAAAGCAACAGGATGCTTGTTACTCGCACAATTGCCATCTAAAATATATAGCTATAATATAACTGGCTACAAGTAGTTTAATCTATCGGTATGTGATGTAACTGAATAGTTTCATAGCGCTAGAGCTTGTGAAGCATTTCTTCATGCTGAGACCTCCTTCAAATCAACATAATGAGCCTTCTACCTTTTAAAATAAATAGAGCATAAAAAATTGCATGTGGGTTAAAGTTTTTTGCCTTGTAATCTGAGGAAGAAGGAAGGGGCTTAGCACAGTATTCAGTTTCTATATATACACACACTTATTCCCTTACTGTTAACCCTTCTTCCTGTGAGGATTCTTTGTGGAAAACATCTTCCAATAAAGGAAGACTGGGCAAAATATTTCAAAATAGGAGTTGCTCCTTAGCCAGCTTCCTAGATGTAGTACGTTTTTTCCTAGTCTTCTGCCAATTTGGAATCACGTATACATTTTACATTCCCATAAATAATAACATGGAGTAACACCTTCACACTTGAACTGTCATAAAAATAGATGCAAATAGACTGCTTTAAAATTATGAGTTCCTTCTGTATTTTAACAATTTGCTGCTATGCATAGTTCCACATTGCAGGGCACTGACCTGTTTCTAGGTAAGCTGGTACAGTGGTAGCACCTAGGCTGGTCAATTTATAATCATATATGGCACAAGTTCAAGCTGTTCGGTGCATACAGTGTCAATTCCTAGATACTCTGTATGTATTTTTAAACTTGGTGCCAAGTTGTTTGGTTTTCCATCCTGGAGTGTTTGGAACAGAGCCATAGGATTTGTACTTGCCAATTCTAAATTTAAGTGTAATTTATCGTGTATGTCATGCCAAGGAGAGCAAACCTGCAGGCATCTGCTCATTCAATGCACCTGAGAGATTTTACTGCTGAGTAAGCTGTACATGTGTAAATTTTGTGGCAATGGAAAAAGGAATAAATAGACTGACAAAGGATTGAAGTCAGTCATGTGAGGTGTCTGTATGGTTTTTGTCAGCTTTCAAAGCCTTGCAAAGGCTGGTGGGATTGGGGGGGGGGGTTGTGGGGTGTGTTTGTTTTCTGTTTTTTTCTTTAAATTCTTGCATTGTTATTCCATCAGTCAGCGGAGGGCAGGGATGGTGACTCATTAGTTTTTGATCAGTTATAATTGATGCCTGTTTTGCTCATTTGTGCCACCTTTAAACTTTGAAGAAGTTCCCTGTGTTCCACTGCAGTGCTGCATCCACTCCATGTACCTGCTAATGAACAAATTCTTCAGTTTGCGTCATTAGTTTGTACTGGCAACAAGGGGTGCAATTGAGGGCAAGTCTTACTCAGTCCTAGGCTCTGAGCTGTGCAGGAGAAGCAGCACACTTGGAAATCTGTGCAAAGATCTTCAGAGGTATGTATTAAACCATCCTTGATTCTCTTCCAAAAGTTTAAATCCAAATAAATTAAGTTATCCTCTGTACTTTCCCATCTGGCATCCCTCTCCAGTGGCTTCACCAGCTGCTGGCTTCTATGGTATCATGAGTCTCTTCCTTCCCCCATAAGAGCGGAACTGCTGATTCTGATACTTGAACCATGTCAAGCTCTTTTCAAGTGTCAGCACCTCTCAGTAGGTTCCCTCAGCTGTTGTCAACCAGCATCTGGCACACCAAAAGGTATAGCCCTTCTGAAAGGTGTAAACTGTAAGGTTTTTACAACCTTTTAAAAATGTATATATTCAGCAAAAGGTGGTTTGTGACCTTTGCAGTATATACGGTATGCTGGGTGGAATTGGGTGAGGATGACGCATCTCTAAAACAGGCTTTTTTGTTATGAATTGTTGACAAAAGGGGTCCTGCAACTGCAGCTACTTCTACAACCACATGCAGAAAATTCCATATTTCAGAGAAGTGGGTACAGTGTTCACCTGTTAAGGGCATTCAAGTTTTGACTGAGTATAATTATTGGGATATTTCCTCTCGTTGTTTATACTTAGCAAATTCTCAGGTGTTTTTTCTTGTGCCTCTTACAAGTAGTGAAATACTCTTATACCCTGTAGGATTTCCTGTCACAACACAGGCTTTCTGTCAAGACAGTAAAGAGCAAAGAAGTCTGTGTTGCCGTGTTTTTTCTTTTTTTTTTTTCTTCAATGAGGCAGTGGTGTAAAACTGTATGAAAATTATTCATCCCCAATATTAAAGAATTGAGTAAAACCTGTCTGTTTTTTTTTCCTGGATCTCAATGAGTGTGTTCTAGAATTAGTATTCTTTCCTAGAGGAATGATCCTGTGACTACAGTGAAACCCTTCACTACAGTAGTTACAAAGATGCAGGTGTGAGACAAGTCTGACACCCATCTGGTATCAACCCTGGTTTTCCAGGGTATGTCTCTGAATCCTTTGGATGAGTGAACTTGGAACCAAGACCATTCCTCTGCTGAGTGTTTTTAAATAGCAGGAGCATCACTCAGTCATGGATTAAATACTTGGGGTGTAGTAGTATTTAAAATGCTGAAGGGCTTGTGTTGACAGAGCAGAATCGGCCCATGTTCATTTATTCATGAAAATAACAGCTCCTTTACGGCCCGTGAGCCCTCCCATGGGTGGTGAAGATCATTCATTCGCACCCACTGACGTGGAGGAGGCAGAGATGGAGCCACATTGGCTGAGGGTCTGCTTTTGTCTTCTCAAATAGGGTGAAAATACAGCATCTTACCAAGACAAAGAAGCCTTCTCTATCCTGGCTTTTAGAAAGCTGAAGAGGGACTTTTTATAAGAGCAAGTAGTGATATAAGGGGGAATGGCTTTAAACTGGAAGAGGGGGGATTTAGATTAGATATTAGGAAGATGTTCTTTACTGTGAGGGTGGTGAGGCACTGCCTTAGGTTGCCCAGAGCAGCTGTGGCTGCCCCATCCCTTGCAGTGTTCCAGGTCAGGTTGGACGGGGCTTTGAGCAACCTGATCAAGCAGAAGGTGTCCCTGTCCATGGGTTGAAACTGGGTAATCTTTAAGGTCCCTTCCAACCCAAACCGTTCTATGACATGATTCTATGATGCCTATTCTTTTTTTTTTTTTCTGGGTTCTCCCTATCTGGTGGTATCTGAACCGATGAGAGGACACCAAAGCTGTGTTTTTATCTGATTTAACATTTACCAAACATTTTTTGCCAGCCCTACTTGTTTGTTTATTTGTTTTTCCTATTATGAATAACTATGGTAAGTGAATACTTACTGATCTTAATAGAGTTACTGTATTTTGGCTGTGTTTAAGACATGCAAGTATGTTATTTTACAGATAATTGTCTCCTTTGGGGCGAGTAGGGGTAGATACAGTGTGCCTAACCTACCTCTGCCCAGAAAGCTCATAGTGACCTGAACTACCACATGAAAAAGAGATCATGTGCAATTAAATTAAAAAAAAAAGCTAAATTCTTTGTTGCATGTTCTGTTTGGCAGGGTTGAAAACTAGGACTTCTCTGAAATTTCCTCTGGGTTTTCATTATAGCCATATTTCCAAAGCCAAACATTTTACTCCTAATTTGGGCTGTGTTTCAAGCAGCCAAGTGTGCGTGCAGCAGGGTAAAGTCCACTGGAGGCAAAAGGGCAGTGCAACTGCCAGCCACATTCAGAAGGAAGAGATAAATGGAAAACTAAGAATAGCTTTGCCCATTTTCAGGAAGGAACCTTCCATCTGATGAGGCCCTTGCTACCTCTCTACAGTGCCTCAGCAGGTGTTTTCTCCTGTCCTTGCTTTGCAAATTCCAATTCCCATAAGCTTCCAAATTGTAATGCTCTGTAGAAATAGAGAAGGGGTGGATGCCACAGAAGGGTGCATGGGCCTGTAAAGGAGACATCAACATTGGTGCTTCTGCCTGGTGTGGTTTTTGTGAGCTGCCTTGGCCTTAGTTGCCCATTTTGAGTGTTTGCTTTCAGACATGCAGAACCAAAGGTAACTGACAGCACAGAGGTGACACTAAGATTACCTCTGTGTTGCTTCACTGCCATGGTGCGGGAGGTGATGCCTGTTCCCACAGCCACACAGGGCAGAGGGGCTGACATCCTCACTGCTCATGCCAAGCTATCTCGCTGTCCTGGCCACAGCCCCACTGTAGAACGCTTGGCCCTGCATTTCCTCTGGTTCCTACATAATGCCCCTGGTATCCTAAGGCATAACTGCCCATTTTTTATTTTTTTTTTTTTTGCCTTTTCTGTGCAGAATTGTTCTTTCCTAGCAGTGAAGAGACTCTCAGAGACCTCTTCTCAATACTCAGCATTTCCACTACCCAAGCTGTGGTCTTTAAAATGAGAGCGTACTAACAGAGGCTGCTTTCACCACGTTGGCACCTTGCTTCTTACAGTATAGAATAGGAATAGTGAGTCTTATCTGTGTTCTGAAACTGCACTGAGGTTTCTTGTGAAGTACAGTGATATTTCTACACATCAATAACTGAGTCCGTGATTAACTACTTAGTGCTCTGGGTGATAGGAGGATGATGCATCCTTTACACTGCTGGCTTTTTCCATCTAAATGGCAATCATCAGTACTGCTTTCTGGAAAACAAAGAAAAACAAGGACCTTTCCCAAGTTATTCTTTATCAAAATTACAGTCAAGCCAATCAAAGCTTTCTGTTTATCTACCTAAGTTTATGTTTACATTTGTATTTCTGTCCCTATCTTTAAAGTAGTAGTAATTTGTGAGTCTTTTAAGACAGCATGGATGGTGACTCAGAAGCACTATCTGAGTCAGTCTCAGCAGACTCCTTGAAGGAAGATATTGAGCCTACACAGAGAAGTATTTGTGGGCAAAACACATTTAAAAAGCTGCAAGACTGCAGATCCCCTTCTTGCAGTGCATGGCAGAAGCACAGAAAAAAAATGGCAGTAACAGAGTGAAGCGCATAATTGCACAAGTATCCAGTTTGAAAGGATAGTACCAATAAAGCTTGGTTCTTACAAAGTAAGATTTCTTCATACGTGAAGTTTCTTAGACTCAGAGGATGCCATTTAAATACATCTTTCAGATAGTTTCCTTCCAGATTTCAAATGTGGGCTGCACCTTAGGAAAAAGTCACTCTTTGCCAGGGAGTAAAAGGGGTGGGACAGAAGCTGATGTTTTGCTTGGTGTTTATCCACGAGTGAATTAGCAAAACATTCTTGTCCTAGGTGGAAGAGAGCAAGAGAGCTGTTCACAGGGTATCGCCATAAGGCACAATTAAAAATGGGAGAGGTTGTCTGCATTTGCCTAGATTTCTTCCAGCCTGACCCCCTCATTCAAGTGTTTACAGTTTGGGAACTCCTGTTTTCCACAGGTTTTCCTTCTGACTGGTCCCTGAAAGGGAGCCTGACTCCAGCATATCAGAAAAGGGAAGGGAAATACTAATTTACAAGTTATTAAATAAATGAACAACCCTGTGGAGGCATCTGTTTTTCTGGGTGTAGAGTTACTTATGCTGGGTAGGGCTAAGGATTTCCTGGCTTGCTTTACACTGGGGTGCAGAAACAATTTTGTGCTTCGCTTTGTAGGTCCACTCTTGTGGTTGCATTGAACAAAGCCCCTGAAAAATCCCTGGGTTATGAAATATTTCCTCTCCGTCGGGTCCCGGACAAGAGATGGCATCTGCAGTGCCAGAAAAGGAAATCCTTGCCTTATAGAGCGTGCTCTCGGTGTGACACAATGGCTGATATAAAGTGTTGGGGGAGCTGAGCTGAAGGCAAAGGAACAAAGGAAGATTGAGATTCGGTGGCTCTCTCAGACAAAAGGAAAGCAGAAAGTGTCTCAGGATGGATAAATTTAAGGCTGCGCTTGTGCTGGCAGGGGTTGGGGATGCTCTTGGTTACCGCAATTTCTCCCGAGAAAACAATGCTTTAGGTGCAAAAATCCAGCAGGAGCTGAAGGAAATTGGAGGGCTTGAGAACCTGGTGCTCTCTCCTGACAAGTGGCCAGTAAGTGACAATACGTTCATGCACATGGCTACAGCAGAGGCTGTCATCACAGGTAGGTACGACAGGACTAACAAATGCAGTCTGGAAAGGAGCAAAACTCTCTAGCTGCTGCTTTTATTAGTTATTCTAAGCCTGAGTCTGGGGAAGTCATGAGAAAGTGTGTCAGAAATGCTGCTTATGTGAATGATAATGTGTATTAGCTTCTCTCCTGTATGAGCATAATCCATGACTGTCACCCAAACTGGAGAGTTTTGATTTCTTGAGTGTGGAGGAGTTCTCCTTATATTTTTTCCAAAGTTTATATACTTGGTTGAAGCTCAAAGACTGAAATATCACATGTCCAACATAACAAAAATAATTGCTAAGTAGATTATCTGTATGCTGGAATACACTGGGGAATAATATAACCACTAGAGATTGTTCCATAAAAGATAAGAGCTCTTCTGAGTGAATTTTAGCATGTTTGTGTCCAGAACTCCAGGCTGGAGTGGAGTCCTTTAATACCTCTTTCAGGCTGAAATCACTAGTGCTGTCTCCTTTTTGCTGCCCCTTGGGCAAAGGGTTGCCCTGCAAGACCAGAAAAGGAACAAACTGCTTTATAAGGAGAGTTCTGTGTCTTTAGTAAAAAAAAATATTCTAACATATTATGTTTATAACAAAGTCTGAATAGTGGAAGTTATTACTGCATGTCTTCTAAAATCACGAGAGTTTGAGAGAGAACAGTTGTTTTTTTTTAAGGTAGTAATAGTCTTTTGTAAGATATCACAATATTTGTATCAACAATTTAACCCATCCAACTAGAGCTTTCTGAGACTAGATCATCATCAAAAGTACACCAGAAGACAGTGACCATTCAGCAGTATTTTGTCTCTTCAGAATTAATCCATTTTTTGATATCTGTAAAGATATTCCTGATTTTTCCTAAAACATGTAACTCTGGGTAACTAACAGAAGCAGAAGCTCACAATGCAGCTAAGTATCCTTCACGTCAATGAAATTTCCCTTGTGCTTCTGTTTCACCCTTTTATCTGCCTGCTTCCAATCAGCTCTAAATTTAGTACACACAGATCAGTCGAAGAGTGTGTTGTACACTTCATACTTGGCTATTAGCTAGCCAATGGTTTAAGGGGTAGCTAATACTCTAAAGATAAGGGCAAGATGTCAGCCTATCAAGGAAAAAGATGACTAACATATGTCTGAATATAGGCTATGATTAAATACATATAATATTTTTCTTGCTTATTGAACTTTCTAAAACCATAACTTCTGGGTAATCAAGCCAGTTAGACTGACAATGAAACAATAAATCTCACTCCTTAAATATAGCAGGAGCACTGTGTCTCTAAAGAAAAAGTCTCAGCTATAATTTCCATCAGCTGTGTTTATTCTACACTCCCATTTCTTTGGCCTGATCAAACAAGCTTTTTAGAAAGGTGCTTTTATGGGCTGGTAAGAAAGCTGTAAGCTGGAGTGGGGGATTTTAATAAGAAATCTTCATTTCATAGTAACATTGGTGGACAGGGAAAAGCGAGTCTTCCTCTAAGCTTCCCACAGGGGAAACAGACCCACTCCTGCCTGCAGCCCTGTCTTCTCCTGGCAAGGGGAACACAAAAAAGCCATGGGGTTTGCCCATGGCACAGCCTACATGCCAAATCACCTAAGTCAACAGAGGTGAAGCTAAAGAAGGTGAATGTGGGTCTGTGAGGGGCCCTGCCTTCCCCATGCAGCGGGGAGCCCTCTCTGCTGTGGAGACTGAGATTTTAAAGAATATATCGGATGTCTGCGACACTACCAGCAGCCAAGCATGATGCAGAGATTTGTGTTAAGGATGAAAGCAGTTCTCACCTGGGGAGATGATTTTGGTCGACGCTTTGCTGCTTGCAGGGAGAACGTCCCAGGAAGGCCGTGGCCAGAAGCAGTGGGGGCTATGGGCGCTGCTGCAGACTGAGCTGGCGCTCCCCAAATCCACCATGTGCACTGACTGAAAAATTTACCCTATAATGACAGATAAACGCAATGTCTGCTTCCAGCAGGAATCTGTCCCGTAAGAGAGGAATGAGAACAGCATCTTAAAACCCAGGGGAAATATTCCTCTAACAAGAAAAATCTGAATTATGGGTAACAAAAAATAAGGGCGCTTTTCTAAAGAAAGAACCTGTCCTATTGACTTGATGGCTGAGAGAACACCCTGGATCCAGGTGCAGGAACAGTGGTCAGCTTGGGCAGCCCGAAGGTGCTGGACCACAGGAACGCTGGCTCTGGCTCTGACTCTTCTGCAGAAGCTGCTGAGCCATAAATCCTGCTCCTGGCTCACATCCGGATAAACAGACACCCAATTCCTAAATGTGGAGAGAGTCGGCAGCTTGAAAGTATCTTGTTCCTTTAGGATTGTATGTGGGGTGGCCAACATAACTGGCGTGTTATTTTTTATGTGAAAGGAAAGGAACCTTGGTTTTACCCTGCATCTTCTTTATTTGCCTGTCTGAATAACCATTACTTTAGTGTGGCTCTGGCTTGCAGGGCTCCAGATTTTCTCTTAAATTAGGCCTCTCCTGTGGATTTCAAGAAATCACCATCTTTAACGAAATGAAGGTATTCTTAGAAGAATTTCCCCTGCTGTGTCATTCAATCTCTGCATCAAACCAAGTGTTAAATGGAGTTTGTCTGAGTATGCAGAATGATGTACAGATGAACAAATGGACAAATCCCAATGGCCTCCTCAGTTCCCACTGATTGCACAACTGTAATAGGTGCCAGTGGAAGCAAGAGCCATGGGCAGGGCTCTTCAAGCCCAACAACATGCAAGAGCAGCTGAGAGAAGCAGCAATACTGAAGAGACTTCCCCCTGTGTGTTTAACAGGAGGAAGGCTCATCCTTAGGCAAGCCTGTAAGCCTTGGTAAAACTAAGCAGTAAACAGATATTTTTAGTAAACTTATTCCAGAAAGAAATGTATCTGCTGGAAATACTACAGACTGTAGGGATTCTCTACCCTTACTGATCTTTACATTCATTTTTATGAAAGCTCACCCTTCTGGCTACTGACACAAAATATTGTGATGCCTGCATGGAAGACATACAAATTTTAGACAAAATAAATGCAGGTTAAAAAATAAGGTCACTGATTTGCTCTTGTGTTTGATCCCACGCCTCTTAATAAAACCAGTGATAGTTTAAGAAAGGCTTTCTTGTTTAAGTTGCATTCACATCTGTAAATAACGGCAAAGGCACCAGCCGAGCCAGGCACAGCTGGCTTCTTGTGCACACCCAGTCCCCACAGCAGCCACACACTCACCTTAAACACCTCTGCAGATACTTCATACCATGGAGCCTAAATAAAGCTCCTGAGCACCTACTGCTGACAAACAGAATTGCCTTCATCTTTCCAATTAAAGGAATTAAAAGTGGAAAAGAATGCAGGAAAAGATGAGAGCAGAGAGACAAGACTGTTCTCCCTCCAGCCCACTCTCAAGGTGTGTAAACACGTGTTGACAGTGGTACCAGAAACATAATTCAGTGTATTGGAAGTAGAAACAGGAACATTTCTTAAATGCATAGTGAACTTGCTGGCTTTCTGTGCTCTCTTGCATTTCTGCCTTCCAGTAGCAACCTTCTCTTCCTATCTCTGAGCAGAGTACCGGAGTTTAGAAGACCTGTACCGGGAGCTGGTGAAACGCTACTTGGATGCTATCGATAAGCTCTCGGGGAGGCGGCCAGACCCTGCTACCATTGAAGGCTGCAGGGAATTAAAACCAGACAACCACCTCCTCGCTTGGCACACACCGTTCAATGAAAAGGGTATGGTATCATTTCCATTTATAGATCATGACTTGAATAATGCATGCTTTTGGTGTTTGTGGCTGTATGGAAATTGTTTCCTTTTTCCCCCCTTACATCAAAGGCCACTACCTCTGAAATGTTTCCATGCTTGCCTAAGGATGGCAAGAGATCTGCCAGGAATTCCTTCTGTAGGGCACTATGTCCTCTCATAAATGAACCCTTCCCACTATAACATCTATTTAAAGAGACTTCGGGCTTGGCTTTGTTTCTTGGGGTCCAGATCTTTGACCTTCAGTTTAATGGTTATTTTAAGAAATATTTTCTGTCAGTTCTGGTTTAAACATTTGTAGTCTTGCATCTTTTCAGTGACGGCAGATCTGAAACAAAAAGCCAAAGCTGAAAATTGTTCTAAGCATCAATTCATTCACTGGAGAGAAAACAGAGACTTTTCTCCAAGTGGATGCCCCACTAATAACTATAACTGTTCTACTTAAAATCCCTAATATTAATTCCTAGCCCTGTTTCCTTACCTCTGACCCTCTCATTCTTTCTCTTTACAACAATTTCATTTTAGGATGAATTGAATTCCTACTACAAGTTAAATAACATGCATGCATCTATGTGCACATGCAAATGCATATACCCATACAGTACCATTAATCTTGAAAGCCTGTGGAGACACTGCATCATCAGAGGAGGTAGACCTAGGCAGCCACAAGATGATGGCAGTGTCACATAGATGTTGTGCTGTGTTGGTGTGACACTCTACCACCACAGTACGTATTGGCATCACTCAACAACATTGCATGTTGATTCAACATCGTGGCAAAGACCCTGTGGCACAATGCCATGGCTATTTCTGGGTCTCTACAGTCAGTTGTCTTGGGCACAAAAAGCATCCCTCACTCAGCCTCCCACTTTTCACAGCAGCTCTTGGGAGGGAAAAGGATCCCCTCCCCACGTATTCTGCCCACCCTGCTATCAGCCAGGTAGATCTGAGAAAGTGCTCCTTCACCAGTCATCATGCTTTCTGATTGACAGCGAGTAACATCTTGTCAAATAGTTGTAGGAGCTGCTGCTGGTCCTAGGCAGCTTTTGACACCTCCAGCAGTGGAGAATGGCTGTTCTGTGGCCCATTGCTTTGTAAGAGCTATGTCTCTTCATTTAGCCTTCCTCCTCCCCAGCTTTTTGTGATGAACTATTTGTTTCTGGGACACTCTGGGCTAGAAGGATCTAAATGAACTCCTGCCTTGAGACCCAGCATCTAAAGCCCACCTTCTCCCTCTGGTCTGACAAATATCATCCTGAACATCTCAAGAAGCCTTTTTTCCACCATGACAGCAAAGGAACCAGTGACCTGAGGTGGGGACCTCCTGTGGCACCTGACACTGCTATGGACGTAATTAGCTTTTTAATTGAATTTTCATAAATTTCTTCTCAAGGCAAAAACATTCCATGGGCATTGAATGCCTCACAGTTAGATGGTATTTGGATGAGCTGGAACCAAAATGCTGTTTTCCTGTGGTCATTCTCTCTTATCTCATTTCTAGCAAGAATTCATATGCCAGCGTTCATGGACTAGTGAAATCTTTGCTTAGGTAATTTTGAATGGCTTATATGATGCTCCTCTGCTCACATCCTTGTGGGTGTAGTCAGCACACTGAGTTCTCAAGTCAAACTGTCCTGTGTGTCTCTGCCATCTCATGTTGTGCTCATTGCCACACTCATTGCAGAGCTATCCAGAATTATGTTAAAGCCTGGTAAGATTCCTGCAGCTGCCAGAAGACCTGCCCAAGGCTGTCCACCTTCCATCTTAAGAGCTTGTTTCTAATTTATGATGTTGATAAGTTCAAGTGTAAAATTTTCACTACCGTTTGTCTCTTTTTCTGTCAGCATTTGTTTAAAGTTTCAATGCAGATGAATGCTGTTTCTGAGACATGGTAAAGAGATTTTTTTCCATTGACAAAGCCTCAAATTGTTCAGAAGAGAATTGCTGATGTGTGAGAGCTGGAACTGAAATCTGGGTGAGATGGTACCCCTTGAGCTAGAGATGCGCCTTCAGAGCCATCATGAAAGGCCAGTCAGATGGCAGGATGGGTCTACCCTGAACTGTGTGTATTGCAGGCTGAGGCTGCAGCATCTAAGCAGGTCTTTATTTGCACCTACTGGAGCAGCTGCTGGGCTTCCTAGTAGCACGTGAGAATGGTGCCTTTTTGGTGGTGGCATTGGTAGAGAACCATGGGGAAAAAGTGTGGGTTAAAAGTGCAGAAGGCTGGGGAACAAAAATGAAGAGAAGGGTAAGCCGCAGACAGACAGGACATAAAGGTACCAGGCTTTAAGTTCTCATGCAGAAAGGTCTGTAGTCAGAAAAGACACCCTTTTCAGGGCTTAGAAGCCATCAGATTCTTGGCAACCTGATCTGAGTTGAAGATGTCCCTGCTCGTTGCAGGGGGGCTGGATAGATGAGCTTTGAAGGTCTCTTCCAAACCAAACTATTCTATATGATTCTATGATGTTTGTTATTCCACAGATGTAGAGTGAAGAGAAGCACACTGAGGTGTTACAGACTAAAAGAGATTAATCTAGTGCATGAATGAAAATTATGTAATTAGGAAATGTCAACACAGCTTTTGTGACAATAAGTCACACCTCAGAATCCTATTAGAAAGCTTATGAAGTAGCAAATAAACAGGAGGAAAAAGGAGACACTGTGAAGATGGTTTGTTAGGATTTCCAAAAGACTCTCAACAAGGTCCCTCACCAAAGGCACTAAGTGATGAGGCACTAAGTTGGTACAGGATGGTGGAAAGGTTCTCCTAAGGACAGACAACCAGTTAAAAGACAGAAAATGAAGAGCTGGAGATTGCAGTCTGCCTCCCCCATAGAGAAGGAGGAACCTGTGCTGGAGCTCTGTGTTCAACGTGTCCACAAAGTATCCAGAAATGCAAGAGTATAGTGGGTTGGCAAAATCAAATTTCATGTGATGCAGATCCGTGGAAGATGCTCATAGGGAGGAATAACTGTGCGGCACTAGCAGAACCAAATGCAAAGCAGGTGAATGAAAAGTCATAAAGGAAGGATGGAACCTAATTTTATATACATAGTTGCAGTTGCTGCTTCAGTTACTATGCAGGGAAGGGATGAAAGGATCGTGGAGCTACAGTAGTTATACAAGAACGTTGCTTTAGTGCTCAGTAAGAGCCAGAAGGCAAATAGATGCTTAGAAGTGACTGGGAAAGGAACACACAGCGAAACACAAAATATGTTTACACCACTGTATAAATCCATAGCTGCTGTTCTTGATTACTGTATATAATCTTGTCCCTCCCTCCAAAAGTATGTAAGAGAACTGGAAAGAATATAAGGATTTATGGTTTGATCAGTAAAAAACTGCTTCCATAGGCTGTGATGTCTGAGACAGTATGATACAGATCTTTAAAGTGATAGATAATGTGGGCAACATGAGTAGGAACAGAGAAAGCCCACTGTCTCCTTCAGCACAAGAATTAGGGACTTCAAATGAAACTGGCAGGTCATGAGCTTAAAGCAAGCAAAAGGAAGGACTTCTCCACACAACACCAGGTTAAGCTGCACAACCATTTTCCAATGCCAATTTGCAGATGTTACAGTTCATGAAAGGGTTCGTGTTACAGTTCAAAAAAGGGCCGGACAAACTCACCCAAGGGAAATCCTTCAAAGGTTATTGAGCAGAAAGACCAACAGCCTTCTGGATCAGGGAGGCAAATTGTCAGCATCAGTATAAAGGGTTAGTTTCATCATGCTGTCATCATCCTCTCCCTTGGCCACTGTCAGACATGGTAAATTAGGCTAACCTTTGGTCTGACTGTGGAGGACAATCCTTATGTTCTTACACACATCTCACCTGTTGCTTGAACTAGTCTCACTGTCCCTTACTTCATCGATTCAAATGGTAGATACTGAGACATGGGAGCTAACAGCTGCTACTCACCTGAAGCCCTGTCTAGGCTTAATGTTACTGCATGTGATGATATTTTTCATTACTGAGTTTGCTTGTCTGCAGAGGGTTCTAATATGACTTCCTACACTGAGAAAACACAATGAGTTTGTAAATGCAAGCTCCTTCAGACCAGCAGTCAGATTACTGTAGTGCATCACCCACTTCAGATATACTACGAGATAGTATTTAATTAGCAGCTCTGTATCGCACCACATCTTTTCCTCCTGGATAACCAGCATGGATTATGTCCTTTGGAGGAACCAGGACTGCATAGTGAAGAAGACCCAATGCTCTGTGGCAGCAGAGCATGGCGGTGGTTTAATGAAGACTTGGTCTTGCAAGCAGGGGAAGATATGTTCTCCTAGTTAAGCTAACTGGTGCTCTGGAAAACTGGGATTCTTTCTTAACTCTTCCTTGTTATTTCTGTGTGATATGTGGGATAAGCAGACAGTTTGATCTGTTCCTGTCTCCTTATAACCAGGTGCTACAGCTGCAGCATATGTGAGCTACAGGAGCAAACACATAATTTGCTGAACAAAAATACAGCCTTTTCTTCAGGAGCAGTGGCCAAAAGTGCTCTGGAGATGGCCCTTTTCACTGTTATCAGGAAGGCTAGTGAGGGATGAGGATGCAGGGCTTGCAGGGAATAAAATGGCATTTTGCAAAGCCTTTCATGGCACAGTTATCAGGTGTTTGGCCTTTTGGAAGAGTTATTGGACACAAAATTTGCACATTAGACTCTGAGGAGAAAGGGAAGAAATGTCTTCAGCTAAACTAATTGGATCATCTACCCAGGGTGCTCACTCAGGACAGCTGCTCTCCAGGGAGAAGAGCTCTTCCCTCAAGAGAGAAATTCTGGTCCTAGTTGGTTTGTATTGCACCTGGAGATCGGTGTCTTATATTAGATTGGTTCAGGCTTTATTTTGGCTTGAAGTAATGCTTCCTGACACCACCACTAAAATACTTCGATCATATTCATCATCTTAGGACATCTGAGCTGGAGTCACTTGGGATGATACTCAACAGCAAGCAGTGCTCCAAGAGAGCTGCTGGTGTTGTGCACCCATAGCAGGTATAGCCCAGGAGAGCAGCTAAGGTGTCTTCTCAAGATAGGTGACTAAAAGCCCTGACTCTGGCTCTTTGGTATCTGTTGCTTCAATTCACTCTGGCCCATGAATTGTTCCCACTATGCCCTCATACTGGCAAATGGAGATACAGCCTTTCTCCATGCTGCCTATCTGGGAAAGACTATGCTCCTAACACGGGTTCCACCCAGGCTAAAATTAGGAGGCATAAATATGCCCCTTATCTTCCAGGGACCAAGTAGAGAAATGCTGATTGGTCTCAGCTATATCCAAGGTCACTGGGAAGTGTGATTGAGCAAAGACAGTTCTGAAAAATGCCAAGTACTTTGAAAAATCGAACCCTATCCATCTCAGGGTGGGGGCCTGCAACCAGTTAATGCTTTTTTGGGTATTGGCTTGGTAGCTGCAAAGAGGAGATAACCACTTCACTGGTGCCTTGTGAAGATAAGCTCATTAAAACTTTATTGTGATAAGTACTGCAAAGAAACTCATTAGCAAATTTAACTCTCTAGTCAATTAAATGTTTGAAAGTTCAACACCTGAGATCATGCACTGAATGCTGAGGATTAAAAGAAATTCTGAATTAGCTATTCAATAAATAAACTCTGTGCTGCACAAGGCAGAAATTCTGAAGACCAAGCTTAGTAAGTGCAGGCTATAGCCTAATGAGTGTGTACACTAAATTCAATTTGCATGGAAAACTTCCATTCTGTCATTGCCTGACTTTGAAGGAGTTGGCTCCAGCTTTTAATTTCTTTTAGTTTTGGACACACTATTTTTGTACATAGCAGAAACAATTTTGTGAACTACCTGTGGGGCTCTCTAGGCTGAAACATGAATTAAAATTGTAAGATCAGCTGTGATAGTCATACAAAGAGTTTTAATTGCCTGCTTTCAGCATGAAGACTACTAAAATAAGGGCGTAGTAAAAGTGTATCTGTTTCTCAAACTTCTGTTTCTAGTGCTGGCATCTGGAGAAAGCAAAAGAAGCAGTGTCAGCCACGAAAGAGTAAAGATGGCATGAGAGTTTGAATCAAGCAAGCAATGTGGACAAGAGAACACACTGCTTTCTGAACCCACTACGCTCTTTGTAGCACCTGAGAATATTGGAATACCCCTGTAAAACCAGAATGACTGTGTAGAAGCAAAATTCCTTGCAAAAAACTTTCAAAACTTTAAACTCATTTCCCATGCCTGAGGAGTTCCCACACATGACTTGAATAAATAAAATGTGCTTGTTTCACATTCTACCAGCATATTTGTGTATTATTAGTCTCCTTTTAAATGCTTGGCATTATCTTTTTATTTTAGGTTCTGGATTTGGAGCATCCACAAAAGCCATGTGTTTAGGGATGCGGTACTGGCAGCCAGAAAAGTTGGAGTTCCTTATTGAAGTGAGCATTGAATGCGGACGAATGACTCATAACCATCCTACAGGTATGATCCACTGATTTACCAGCTGAAGCCCCTAAGGCTGCTTGTTGCTTCTGCAGGGACTACCAGGGCCCTGCGATTTCACCTGGTTAAGCCTCTTCTGCTTTGCAGACTTCAATGCCTCCATTTGAATTTTGGACAACATATAAATGTACATATTACTTCTATCAGCTTATATATTTGTGTGTATATTATGCAGAGAACAACCTCAGGTGTTGGAGCTTTCCCTCCTAAAAATCCCAACAACCAAACACAACCTGTCTTGTCCAGACCATACTCATATCACTTGCCTTGATCTAAATTTAGAACTCACGTACATCTAGATGACTCCCTGTTATCATGCAAGTTTATGGTTCAAAGGATAACAACATTTTCCTCTTGATAGGGTTTGTCTTATCCAATCACCGTAGGTAAAGGTAGAAAACCCCCAGAAAAACTAACTCCTCGTATTTCAAAACACAGGATGAAATATTCTCTAAACAAAACACAAACAAATAGATTTAATGTTGTTCTGAATATTCAGGTCTGCCATTCAGATAATTTTATGCTACAAAAGCATGTATTCATTCTATCTGTTTTAAACAGAAATAAATAAAAGCATAATGAATGGTGACACGTTCAACACAGTGCTGTGAAGCAGCCACAAAAACCATCAGGATGACATAAAATTAGAGGAAAAGATTTGAAAGAGAAGCAGAAAGTATAATTAAGCCAATAAAGCCCATGTTTAGATTGGATATAAGGAAGAAGTTCTTTACTGTAAGGCTGGTGAGGCACTGGAATGGGTTGCCCAAAGAAGTTGTGAATGCTCCATCCCTGGCAGTGTTCAAGGCCAGGACAGAGCCTTGGGTGAGATGGTTTAGTGTGAGGTGTCCCTGCCCACGGCAGGGGGGTTGTAACTAGACGATCTTAAGGTCCTTTCCAACCCTAACTATTCTATGATTCTATGATTCTATGTTGCATTAGCAGCAGTAAGTTGGTTGCAGCCTGGGTTTCCCCCTCAGTAAGAACTTACTAGAGCCAGAAAATGGCACCAAGGAGCACCCAAGTTGTCAAACACCTTCCATATAAGGAGAAATTACATCCAGAAGGAGTTTTCAGCTGGGAGACAAGTGGCACATCAGGGAGTCAGAAAGGAGCAGGGTGGAAGGCCCACCATGGACTTCACTACCATGAATTGAAAGGTGCCAGAGAAAGGCCAGTTGTGACTCCCATAATTCAAAGACTTGAAGACAAAACTCAACTGACATGTTGGTCAGGACTGAAGCAACCAGACAAAAGGAATATTTCCCAGTGTTGTGTGTAGTTAAGCCACAGATCTTGATGCTACTGGCAGCTACAAAGTCCACAGATACATCTTGCTTCAAAGAGGATCAGGCAAGTGGATGAGAAAGGCTGTCACTGCTAAAAACAATCAAGCTGTGTAATTGAAGTTGCCCATAAGCTAGTCTAGCAGTTCTGGGGAGTGGAGAAGCCAAACCAGTGAGGTTCACTCCACACTGGCATTATTTGCAGAGCAAGAGACCACAGCTGGATCTTGCTTTCTTACCTGGTGTGAGGGCTGCAGTGAGTAGGGAGAGCAGAGCAAGAGCAGCAGGGTAAGGGAGCTACATGGGGAGTGGGCAGGAGGACACAGTGAGTCCCCCCAAAAACTTCTGGGCACACCCCAATCTCTACCACCCTCTGCACTGGCTTGTCCCACTCCCTCCTGCTAGCCCTTTGCATCACCCTCTAAGCCCTCCCCTGCCATCCTCACACTTAATGCAGCACTCAAGGATCTTTATTGCAGTTGGGGTAGATGCTGTCTATTCGAGTGAGACCCTTTGAGCTTGCTCAACCTGGGGTTTTATTCTTTATGAAAGATTCTTTCTGGGTTAGATGTACCTTGGGCTTGATTCAGTATTGCAGGCATTACAGCAGAAAAGATTAGTAATTGTCTCATCTGGATTTGTAACCTCCTAAAACAATTAAGTTTTATCTTCAGCAAAATACGTGAAGCTCGTGTTTACCTCTAAGCACAAGTGAATGCTTTTGGACTCCTGCATGGCAAGGAGCATATGCATCAATACTTCACTCACCCAGGGCTTGCTTAAATGACTGAGTTGTTTTCTTAACCTTCTTTTCCATGGATTGGTTTTGTTGTCTTTGAGAGAATGCCAAGAGCACAAACAAATATTAAAAACAAGGCCCTCTGTGTTTGATGTCATGGAAGTGTTGAGTGCCCATCAACAGAAAGTTCATCTTAAGTATATTTGTGTCCAAAGTGGAAGACTTTGACCTAATTAGGCAGGCAGACAGCATGTCTTATTTGGATTATTGTTTCTTTCCTCTAAAGAGACATGGGAAAAAAGCCACTGTCCAAGTAAGACATGGACTTGTGCCCCCTTAGCATAAAATGAGCCAGAAACAACTGTTAGATCTAAGAACCACATCCCTTGTGCTGGATGAATCTGTAAGCAAGCTGATACAGCTTGTAACTGAAATACTTTGCACAAGTCATGTATTTCACATGACTTCAATTAGAAGATTTTCAGTATCACATTAGTTGATCATACTTATTTTTGACCCTTACCTTGATTTCTCTCATGTTACACCATTGAGAACAGGAGCTCCCTTTTATGTAAACTAAGTTGTAAACCAACAGACACCACACATTAGGCAAGAACCTCAACATGCCATGAGCAGAGGTAGGTTATGTATATTTGTTAAACTACCCAACAACCATGAAGCATTCCAGTAACGATTTATGGGGGATGTGACAGGGATGTTACAGGCACATACTGCACATTGGTAATCACAGTTATCTATGAATTCCAGGCTTTCTAGGGTCCCTGTGCACAGCTCTCTTTGTGGCATATGCTATACAGGGGAAACCCCTTGCGCAGTGGGGAAGAGAGATGATGAAGGTTGTGCCGATGGCTGAGGAATACTGCAAGAAGACCATTCGCCACATGGCAGGTAACATGTCTGAATCTAAAGAGCTATTTTCTTAAAGCTATGTTCAGCTAGATAGACACTGAAGAAACATCACTTCCTAGTCTCTCCATTTTGCTGCTTTCTCTGCTCAGACTGTAAGCTCTTCACAGGTGATGCCTCTTCTTCTCCTGTCTGTTAATTGCCTGGTATATAGGTGGCAAAAATACAAAGAGAAATAGCAATGATGATGCACAGCTTTATTTTTAGGAAGTCTTCAAAGATTGCTGTGCAAGGGGAGGGAGGAGATTATATTTACTGGCTTATTAGGCGAACTGACTGCTGAGATATAAATTATTCAGCTCCCATCAATTAGCACAGTTCAATATTTTCCATAAGAAACATTTCTCATTTCTGACATTTCTCATTTTGCTAGGAAAAGTTCCCCTGCAGATGCCCCCTGACCAAGTGTTAACTTTTGACCACAAATTCAGATTTGACTTGTTGCTTTTCTGAACAAATATTTAAGATTCAAGCTGTTTTACCCTTGACTTAAAACAACTGAGTGCAACACAACTATTGAACTTGATATAGCTATGTTACTAATATATGTCATCTTCAGGGCAAAGGTATTTTAGTCTCCTCTTGCCAGGGAGTGATGTGTTTGTAACAGTGAAACCTGCGTGAACAGACAATTATCATCGCATTAAAACATGGAGGAAAGAGGTTTATCTGTTAAAGGAGGGCTGTTGAGAAAGATTGAATTCAATGGAAATCTGCTGACAAGCACTCAGAAATGGAGGTTTACCTGGGAAGGAAAGCTGCCACTTTAAAATCTGGAAGGCGCACCAGGGAGCCTTTCTGAAAGACCCCACGTTTTCCTCTAGGCCTCATGGTGCACCAGGATTATTTTAGCCGAGACCTATGAGGAGCAGGTGCAGGATTAGTGTAAACGAGCTCCTCTCTGAGCGGCTTTGCAGCAGGTCCCTGTCACTCCACCCGGGCAGGACCCCTCGGCATGGAGGTATGCGTCCTGGGCTCCCGAGGCACGCTCTCCGGCTCTTGCCCGTATTGTTGAGTTTTGTCCTATTTTGGAAGTGGGAAAAGTCTCCTGCACTAAAGTTCAGCTCCTTGGCTGGTGAAGAAGTCCTGCAAAGAAATCCTGCCAATGTCCTCCAGTTTTAGAAACTCTTTTTAGCTGCATTATGCCCAGTGAATAACAGACACACAGTGTTCGGTTGCAGAGGGCTTGACTCAACACCCCTCTCTGATATTCAGTTGCAATTACTTGCCAGATAGTCCCATAGACATGAATGTGACTGTTGTCTCAGGCTGTGCTCAAGGGATGGGATAGAGCTTTACTAAGGCTGGTGGCATGGAATTTCTGAATATGCTACAGGTCATCTGTGCAAGAAAATTCTCCTGCAACCTCTTGATCCTTCTGTTTCTGAGGTTGTGCATTGGAATAATCCCTCATCCTTGCTTGCTGAGGTGCTACATAGAAGGCACTATTTTTTGAGGTATTTATCATTTATGGTCATGAAGGAAATAATAAAAAAAAACCCAAACCCCACAAAGAAAGGAACCTGCCAGGTCACCTGTATTTCTAAAAGCAGTCTTGTAGCCAGCTGCTGGAGTGGGTGTCAGTAGTTTACTTCAACCAGTTGTTTACATCAACCAATGTTTTCTTTGTGTAACTTCTTTTTTCTTCAGGATGCTTCCCTTGGCCTGATAGCTGTGAACACGCATTCACTGTTTTTCTAAACATCCCACTGTTTTCACTGTTCTAGTGAATGGCTTCACTGCAATCAGGAAAAATCAGACCATGAACTCAGAGAAAAGCATTCCCAGGCACTATCGGGAATGTGGTTGAAGGCTCATCCCTGTCTGGGGTTGGGGAACTGGCAACACTGTGAAAGTATCAGGTCCCAGAAGGCAGCTTGGATTTTTTTACATGGAGTTAAACCTCTTTAAAGATCTTAATTGCCAAAGAGGATCACCCATGTGGCATTTTAGGAAAAGAAACAAAACCAGATTACGTCCTTCAGAGAAACGGTCTGGTTGTGTGCATGCCCCTCAGCCACTTGCAGCACATAACTGGGCGACCAAGCAGGACAGAGCCAGGGAAAAAGAAGCAATACTCAGTTTCATTTCAAACTACACTGATAGTCCCATACTGAATTACTTGTTTGCCTTGGCTTACCTAGCTGTCTGGTCCACTTCACTGATTCCTAATTCCTTACCCCCATTAGCTTCCGAGGCAGGGTTTCACTCAGGCCTCATTTCTGCAGATGGGTGTTTGTCTATGTGCTTACGAGGTCAGTGTGACTTACACACCCTTTAAAGCCTTTACAAAAAGGTTGAACCAGAGCACTGGCTTGAAAATGAATTGAATTTAGTCATACTATTTACATGCACAATGTTAAGCATGATTAGAGATGCTCTTTTAAGAGTGACAGAAAGAGGAGAAAGACCTATGGTTATTAAAATAGGCTTATGTCTATGGGCACAGACAGAAGAGGTGTGTGTTATTTACCCTTTTTTGTACTATATTTCATACTTATAATACATGTAATGGAAATTTTGGGCTTTTCTATCTGCTTTTTCCTGAAAGATCACACAGAAATCCTGTGAAAACAGAACAGAAATACTGAAGAAATTATGTGATTAACAACTGACAACTGAGTTAAGAGGCAATTTGTATTTAGTATGTGTAAGCTCTTTTAGATATTCTTTAATCATAGTAAAGGAATACAAAAAAATTGGCATAGAACTGGGGGGTTTTCCTCCTTTTTTGTCAACTCTCAACTTTTCCTTGGAGTGTTCCTCAGTAAGTTCTCTAAAAAGCTCATCTTGATGTAACTTAATGTAATTTTAATATACCATAAAAATAGCATGAGATTCTGAAAATATTTTCTTCATTCACATCTTTTGTTTCCAGTTAGATATTCCACTCCATATTAAAACATATATTTAGTATGTATGACTGCTTAATGTACATTACTTCAAAATACCTACTTTTTCAGGTCATTCAATACTGTAATTTTCTTCAAAAATTTATTAAAGTAGAACTGAAAATGTTGCTGAGATGAAATCCTGTATCACTGATTTCTTTTGCATTCAGAATATCAGGAGCACTGGTTTTACTTCGAAGCCAAGTGGCAGTTTTATTTGGAGGAGAGAGAAATCAACAATGAAAATCAGAATAAACCTGTTTTTCCAGACAACTATGATGCAGAGGAGAGAGAAAAGGTAACTGCAACTTCAAAAAGCACTCAGGAAGGCTTTAAAATGGGAGAGGTGTTTTCCAAGGGACACAACAGGGTTTTTTTAACTGTTTCCAGTGTCAGAGTTGCCAGGATGTCTTTATTTGTTTTCTAAAATTTCAAGAAAGAAAAAAAACAACTCCCATTCTTGACTCAGATATGTGTTAGCATAAAAAAGCAATTGCACCAGTCCTGAGGTTGCTGTGATGGGAGGAAAAAGTGCAGAGTGGCAGGCTTAATGGCCAGATGTGTTGATGACCAAAGCAGGTACAAAACATAAGCCATGTTAGAAGGTGAAAAAGGCAAATGTCCTGCCAGGAGCTCTAATTAAAGCCTGATGGATCTGTGGCCCTAGTCCCACAGAAATCCCCCAGGTACTGGGAGTTGGACTTGGCTGTGGTCCTTTGAACAGAAGAAAGCCACCCCAAGCAATCCTCTGCCAAGGCAGGCTGTGCCCAGGCTCGTTTTAAGTGTCTTGAGAGATGGTGTTTCATCACGTTGCATGGGATAGTATTTTATAGCATACATGATCTGTCCTTTGGCTTATGTCTTCTGGTTATACCTTCTTAACTCAAGAGAAATAAGGTGTCTTCTTCTCTGGTGTTAACAGCTTTCTGAATTACACGTCGAAATGCTAAACATCAAAGCACATTTTGTATAAGTAGGTATGCATCCTAAATTTAGGGATAACTAGAGATGTGGGGATAACAAATTACCCCTTCTTGAATGTTTAAATGCAAGATGGGCCAGTGTAGGGTAAGTCCTTTTTCAGCGATACACACTTGGAACATGCTAGATACATAGTGAATAGGCAGACAGGATCAGCTTTGCTTTTGCAGACAAATCACTCCCCCTGCTCAGTTTCCCATGCTGGACACAGTGTGCTACAAAACAAGGGAGGAACCAAACCAAAGTCATCCAGGTCAGTTAGACTCTCAAGAGCTCCCTCCCTTAAGATGGAGTTGCTTAACCCAGCCCTGTGAAAGGACCCAGAAAAGGAAACAAAACAGTTGGAAAGGGAGTGCTAGCCAGCAGCAGGTCACCTCCTGGAGGGTGAGTAAGTCAGAGGCAGCTGTAATTACCGTCTGCAGGAGTTTACAGCAAGGAGGGAATGTGTGAACTACCTCCAGGACTTGGCAGCAGCTCAGTGCCTTCATCAGGAGGGGTTGCATGTTGACACCCACATCCATGCACTCAGAGCTACCCGTCCTCACCTGCCCGTTCCAGGGAAGCTGGGCTGGTGTCCCATCACAGGGCTGCACAGAGGCACAGAACTTGAAAGGAGGTTGCATTTCTGAAAAGTTTGAGAAATGCTGCCTTGGTGCAGTTAAGTCCAGCAGGCTTGGTCCCAAGGACAGCTATCCCTAGTGTAAAGCTGTTTCAGCAAGGCGAGATGACGTCAGATGTGTGCAGAGCATCAGCGATCTGAAGGGCTAAATGGAGTGACACTTGAGCTGCCTGCCCGTGCGCCCAGAATAGCACCTCCATGCTTAGTCTGCTTGCCTTTGGTGGTATTACATGTGTGTCAGTACTGCTCCACTAACATCCGAACTGCAGCAGTGAGGCTGGAAGGTTTGCATGTGGCAGAGGACAGCATAAAGACATAAATTCTCTATATTGCAAAAAGAAAAAGGAAGTAGCAGAGGGAAGCTTTAGTCCAGCTCTGCCTGTTTGATATATATGTGTAAATAACCCACAACCAAGTATGTAAGGGCAGAGATGAAAGTGAACAGGTAGAAATGCAAACCCTTTGACACTTCATACATGCTGCAGAAGCCAAGAGCCAGCCAAGCAGCTATTCAATTTATCATTATGTAACTTAAATTTCTGGAAATAAAGTTGCCCATTTCCTTCACAGGAAAGTTGGGGGTTTTTACTATAAATTTATCAGTGTTGAGTTAATTTGAGAATCTGGGGCAGGAAACAGTGAGTTCTCTAGAGAAAATCTGATTTTCTTTTGCAAACCTTACAGTGGGTTTGGGTTTTTTTCTCTTCTTCCCTCTCCTGGGGAGGAAATGTTTCTTATATTTGCCAATTATTTTCCATTTTGTTCAACAAATGCTTGTAGAAGAGGAGGAAAAAGGCTTGGCAACAAAAAGTCAGAGAATGGGGCTTGAGTTAATACAGTCTGAAATTGATCCCCTCAAGAAATTACTGAATCGGAACTTTTCACCCTCCTCATAAAGCCTGACTAATTGAAACAAGGGAGTTGAGAATATTTCCAAGAGGCAGGAAGAGGACTGACTAAGTCCTTATTGACCCTATTTTTTAAAATAATTGGGAATTTCTAGGGTGTGAACTTGGAATCCCTCTTGATCTACTTTTTGGCATTCTTGGCTTGCTTAAGTCAAGCCAACTTCTTAGCCTGTTGAGAGCTTGGTGCATTAGCTGAGGTGCTGGCTTATACCTGCACCTCAGGCATCACCTAGGCTGTGGTAGCAGCCACTGTGCTGGCTTACCCCATGCCATAGGCAGCAGTGCAGGCAACACAGCTGCCTAGTGCCTTTTCCCTGTGAGATGAGCTATTCCCACCCAGCAGGGGAGAAGCCATTTTGTCACAGCCATGTGCCCCACGTCCCCATTTCCAGTGCCCTACCCTGACACCGCCATCTCTCCCTCAGACATACAGGAGATGGAGCTCCGAAGGCCGGGGGGGGAGAAGAGGCCATGATGCCCCCATGATCGCCTACGACGCCCTGCTGGGCTGCAGCGGAGACTGGACAGAGCTCTGCAACCGCTCCATGTTCCACGGAGGTGAGGATCCCCTGTGTCTGCCAACCCCGCTCCCTCACCCCATGCCCAGCATATAAAACCTTGTACTTAGAGGCACACCGTTTCTTCTGCAGCTTTGTGAGAGATAACTCTCTCGCTGGCAGCAGTGTGGGCTTTAGAGAGGGCCAGTGTAGCTGTGGGGGGAAAGGCCCCAACCCTGACTCACCTGCTCCCTCCCCGCCTGGCGTGGGCCCTCTGCAGAAGCTCTGTGTCGCTCACTCACCCTGATACGGTGTTGAGAGTCCACAGCCCCTCACTGCAGAGCCTGGCAAGCATGAACTTGCGGGCATCACACAGCATCAGTGCTACTCACCATGGCTGGATGTTTTAAAGCATGTGCAGTGCATTGCTGTGCTGTGAGGAAGGAAGGAACATTCTCCAGTCCAGGATGTCTGCTGTGTAGCAGGGACCCCTTTCAACTACTCTTCCCTCCTCTTTCCCTAACAGTGGCCAGCTGCTTGCAAGAGCTGTTGCATTGGAGTGGATTTTCTCCACGCCAAATAAGCTCCTTAGCCCAGGAGCCCATGCCACAAAGGTATCACCACATGCTTGCATTGGTGCATTTCTCTCTTCCCTAGGGCATCCTCACCTGCACTGCCAGAGACAGGGCATGGGGTGGTGCAAACCTTTGGGACTGACCCAGCGTGCCCTCATCATGCTCCATCAGCAGCTTAATATTTCCTCCTGTGTGCAGCGTGGGTTTTGGTTGTGTATGTGAAGGTGACACTAAGAGAGCATTGCAATTGTGCTTAAACCTGCAGGAGAAAGCGCAGCTACTGGGTCTATCGCCGGCTGCCTGTATGGCTTGGTTTATGGCCTGAGCAAGGTCCCCAAAGGCTTGTACCAGGACCTGGAGCAAAGGGAGAGGCTCGAGTTCTTGGGCGAGAATCTTTACCGACTATCCATGGAGGAAAAGTAAAGCAGTTTCTGCCATTTTCTCTTTCTATAAAGACTATATCAAACCTTGTAGATAACTGACTGATGTTCATATCAAAGGAATTAGCTGAGAGTTAGTTTGTAAGACTGTATGTAGATCATGTGTGCATGAAGATTGCTGAATTATTCAAGACTGATTTGATATTTACAGTTTTGTGGGCTTTTTTTACAGATGTAGGGATTTCCAAGTATAAAGGGTACTGTCCAAATCAGTGAGATAATCTCGAATGGAAAAAGAGAAATAAACCCTCTTTTGACTGATTTCAGTCTAACTTGCCATAATACCACTTCCTAAACAGCTGTGACCAGCATTTACACGTACAAAATTAATTTTCAGAACTAATGCTTTCCTGCAAAACTAATGGTAGTACCTACTTATGGGGATATTCTCTGTATATTTGACAATCCTTTCACCACTGTGTTCCTCCTTGTTCTCAAATCTAATGTGTCTGTGATACTTGTAAATCTAACGTCTCACAGATTAGCTTTTAATGAACTACTGATCCCTGTATCAGCACTGTGGTGCAAGGTATTGTTACATTAGAAGCTTCCAGAAAAGGAAAAGCCAACACTAAAAATACCCCCAAGGAACATCAAAGCACCAGTGTGTCTAAAATTTCTGAATTACGCTTTTATTCTTCTTCAGTCTTCAGAAAAAAAGTTATTTTAAAATATAACTGGCTGAAATATTTGTAAATAAATTAATCTTACACTATTTTCTAAGCATCATTCTTTATTTTTAGATTTAGCAGATTCTATGTTGCTGTATCAGTATCAGAATTTTTGGCTGAGGTCTTCTAGCAGTTGTAATAGGTCAGCAGTCAGGCTGTGATATATTTCACCAGTCGGAACACCACAAAAACCCCAGGAAGAAAATAGTTACAACTGCTTTACCTTTTTTCTCTTTCCTCTTTCCTTTTTCCTTCTTTTACTTTTCCCTTTATTTTCTCTATTCCTTTTTTCCTTTTCCTTGCCTTGACTCACCTTGCCTTTCTCCAATTTTTTCAACTTCTTTTTTTCTTTTCCTTTTTTCATTTTTCCTTTTCCTTTTCTTGTTTCTTTTCCTTTTTCTCTTTTTCCCTTCTTTTTTTTTTTTAATTTTTTTATTTTTCAAGAAAACCAACAAAATATGATTCAGTTAAAAGTTGCACACAGCAGACAAAGTAATCCGTAGACCCTGATGAAGGAGGTTCTGATGCCCCTGCAGAAGCACAGGCACAAATCTGGAATCCTCAATGAAATGACACAGAAGTGAGCACAGAATTTGTTCCTGATGTTTAACCCTATGCTTTAGCTCAGAAGTTCAGAAACTGAGGTCGAAGTAGCACTTTCTAATCTCTCCCATGAGTGGTTGCCTACATGGTGTTGGTTTCTCCTATCTTTCTCCAGCTGCTGAACTGTTTTAAAAAGATAGCTAAAAATACACAAGTACTTTCCTATCCCTTTTTCCATGTAAGCAACTGCTGGAATCATCACTGGGATATTATGTGGCAGAAAGAGAAGCGATACCTGTTGTTATGAATAGCAGCCTGCATGACAATGTCTGTAGGAAAAGGTTTTCCGTACTATGAGCTACTTCACATGCTGCTGGTTTAGCATGTTTTCTCTTGGCAGCTTTGCAAGGTGTTTTCTTGTTTGCTTTGGAGATATGTTAAACCAAAAGGAGCATTTGTGTCAGTAGCTTTTGATTTAAGAGAATACCAAGGCTTTCTAAAAACATTCCTTTTAGTTTAGGATGCCTCTAGCATACCTGTAATAAAATCAGCAATAGAGAAGAGAGAAGAACATATCCTGCATAAGGTAGGATTTTCTCTAATACTTCGGCTTTTCCTCTTCCTTTAGAAAAAAAAAATCACAAAAAATTCCAACCTGAAAATCATTCATAACTGTTCGCACTTCACCTTCTATCCAGGCTGGGATGATCAAGTTTTGTTTCAGAGACAAATAAGAGAATACAGTTTGAAAGGTGGTTCCCAAAGACTGAACCTATAAAGCACCTTTTTTCTTCTTTTGAGCTTTTGAGGCAAACAGTGTTTGCCATCATTTCAGTGAAAACACTATAAAGGCCTGTGCAGTGGTCCAAGCAAGCAGGTCTGCTCCTGGTTGCCTTCCTTATCTAGGGGCAGGTTGTTGCACCAAACAACACACTGAGCTGAGCAGCAGCTGGATGCGCAGGGATGAGGGAGTCTATGAGATGCAACACCTCATGTGCTCTGGGTCATGCCCATTTCCCCAGAACCAACCAACAGTGAGTCTCCATAATGCTGCCTCCTCCTCCCATGCTCCTGTCCTGAGCGCTGTCCCAGAATGGTAGCTGGATATTTAACATGTAATTCAGGATCAAGAGACAGGGCCACCTCTTCTCCACACCAAAGACAATAAGCCAGAAAATCCTGGAGCTGCATGCTTTTAGCAAATGCCATAGAATGCCACCACCCCCCACAACTCAGGAGCCTCCAGACCCCTGAGAGAGTGGGGAGGCAGGAGTGCATTGGTGAAGGAGGGTATAGGCAGGGCTGGGGAAGAGTGCCATCTCCTCTCCCTGTGCCGTGGCATGTCGGCTCTCCTCCACTCTGGTGTCTGCTGCAGAGGTTTCCCTGGGACAAGCCAGCCAGCAGGATAGTGTTGCACTGCTATCCATTAGCATATCAGGCTGTTGCCACTCTGATGCTGCTATGATAAGTGTCACCAAAGAACCTATAAATAAATAACTAAGCTGCCTGTCTTATGTATCTTAATTATTCGTGGGCCAAGAAGACAGGAAACTTTTGGAGGTGGCCTTGCCTCCTCTGGAGGTCCAAGTGATCTGTTCTCTACCACTGAAAACCATGCAGCAGCACTTCCAGAAAACAGCAGCACATTGAGGCAGCATCATACACGTTAAAAACATTGAAAATCCGCATCTCCAAGGGAGGAGAGAGGCAAGGAGCCTGAAGTCCATGTTAGGTCATTTCCCAGCATCAGGGAGGAGCCAAAGTATCTGCCTTGTCATCTGGCCTAGCTCACACTGCTGGGAAGTGACTTCTGCTGACGTGGGCTTCCCCTGTGCATGGGAGGCACCTGCCCAGCTCTTCCCAGCCATAGGTGGGACTGGAGTTGGCTGTCTGTAGCTGAGATAGAGGCGGCTATGCTTTACTAATAGGTCACATATTTAAGAACAGCAGGATGCAACTTGGAAAAAGGTGGTGAAGAAATATTAGAAATGATATCTTGCCTGTTGAAAAAGGTGGTCATGATCCCAAACCTGACAAACCCTCTGACTTTGCTCTCCTTCCCTGGGAGGGGAGCAAGGTGTTTTCCAGGCTCTGGGACAATACAGACTCTGCACTACAGACTCACACATTTCCTGTCATGGTCTCAGACTTTACTGTCACTGTACCAAAGCCCTTGCACAGAAAGCATTTCAGATTTACATGGTCATGATGTTGGTTTGCAGGTGAGGTCACCTTGGAAGATCTGCAGATATCCTAAATAGGTGCCATGGCTGTTTGCCTGTTTTCTACTGCTTGCTGGTGAATACATATCAAACACTCAATCCATGCAACATGTCTTGGTACTTAAGGTAATGCAGTATTCTCACAAAGGTTACATCTCAAATGACATCCTATAAGAATGCTCCAATGTGGAAAAAGAAAACCTTGTGCAGAGCCAATTAGTACTACATTTTAATGAAGCTGTTTGAATTTTATAGCTCATGAGTGATTAATTACAGTGATCAGTCCTTGCAGAGAAGGTCTTATCTTCTTCCCTTCACAATCAGTAGTAGTCTGTCTATGCTGACCTCGCTGACAGCAGGACTAGTCCATATTTTACAGTGCCTGTTTATTACATCCGAAGTAGTTTGTAAGGAAGAGGTAAACAGGACATCTGGTTCCACTGCTGTACTGAGAGATTAGAGATGGCCTTAAATCACATTGGTTGATGGCCCCCATGTGCATTTCTGAATACACCAGGCACTTCTTAGGGAGGTGAGGTCTTCTGCCATGGCAAGCTTTCAGTCAAAATATCAGCAAACTGGCTATAGGAGGGAGAGTGAACCAGGACATTTTTAGCCAATCATACCCAGAATTCTGGATTTTTATTATGAAAATCCCCCCTAGTTGTGACAAATGGGGATCTTGGTGTAACGTGGGAGCCTTGCATACTTGGCTGTGGTCAATTCAGTAAGGGAAAGGGTGGATATCACCACATTATGCACATGAGAGCGTGCACCTGTGCTATGCTGAAATGTGGTTATTCCCAATCAAAACCTACAAAGTATTGTTTGTCACATTAGACATGGGCCAGCTGTCATGCTTTTTTTCTTTTATTGGCCTTTAAAAATATCTACCAAGTCATTATAAATAGACCTTCTTCCATTCAAGATGGCAACTTCATGCCACTGCTGAGGGATGTAATTTTCAATATGTGCACTTGAAATGAAGCCAAGTGGAAGCCAAATGTAATGACCTAACTGTATGAGGACTAGGCCCCCCACTTTGGCCCCATAATATCACAGTGGGGGGCCAGGTCCAATTTCTTTTGGAGTCTATGGGGTACCAGCTGCTGGGGCACAGCTGGGCCTTCTGCAGCCTTTTGTGGCTGACACTCCCTAAAGGATGACCCTCTTTGTAGCCTTTCTTCATTTTCTACTTGTGGGCTTGATTTAAAGAATTTTTTATTCCATTTCTGCTCATGAAAAATAATCCCCTCCTGGTATGCAAGCTGCATTCTGTGCGTGAAGCTATTTCACTGCACAGTAAAGTAACTTTCCAGCTTTTCGTGGTGTCAGAAAGCTGACACCTCTTGCTTTTCCCCCTCCTAGCCCCATCTATTGTTATTGACTTCATGCTCCAGCTTTTGTGCTGAGTTCACTATTTTATTTAGTAACTGATCCACACTAATTAAAGCATTGCCTAAATCCCCAGCTGTCCAAGGGCCTGATTCTCCAAAGCCAAGTGTAGGTCCAACATACAAGCCCTCTTCCTCCAGATCAAAGTCAGTTGTAGTCATGGTACATTGCCAGGGTTGTAGTGGTGGTGCTACCTTTCATAAAGCAGATTTAAGAGCATAGTCCTGATGTGGGATTTGAATGATATCAGAAAGCAAGTAATGCTAATCCTGTGGGTTTTTTTTCAATTCTGGAGAGGTACTTACTGGCTTCTAACCTGTACCAACAGCAAAAACTATCAGTGGCACATCTATGCTCCTCAGCCTTTGTATTTTTTTAATGGTTTAAGTCTGTTTTTATAACCCAGAGGCAGAACCATGTTTCTCTGCTAATTGTGTTCTCATAGTTTTTATCTTTGCCTACATTTTACCTAGCAGGACAGGAAAACACCTTCAGTGGTGCCTTCACATTAGGACACTGTGATACTAGATGAGTGAGGAGTGGCACAGAGGAGATGTGGTCAGCTAGCATTGCTTGCTCCTTTAAATGCTTTCACCGCCTACAAAACACAAAAGAAAGAGCTGAAGGTGCCATGTGGGACCATGTGAAGCTCTATGAGCTCCTGTTACACCATACCTCACAAAGCTTAAAAAGCACTTTGCAAGTTTTTTAACAGGCCACTAATGACAATTGTCTTGAGGAGTTCTAAATTAATGTATTTTTTTCCATCTTATGCTGAGCAGCATGCCATTAAGGCAGAATAAGGAGGTAGTGGCAATGTTGATGACTTGAAAAGAACATTCGTGTTTTCTCTTGCACAGCACCAAAAGCACACGCTTTTATGGAGATGATAAGATGCTGGTAGACCCTTTGGTGCTAAAGAAGAAGCTCGATAGGATGGCAACAGAGCAAGGGGCCTTTGCTGTTCTCAGCAGTCTGCTGCTATACGTCACCGAGCTCGCAGCCAGTGATCCACAGCTCAACAACAAGAGGACAAAATGGGCAGAAGGTAAAGAAAACAAGGTGAGTTATAGCCAGCCAGGTCTAGATGCAAACAGGGGCCAGTATCCAACCAGATTTCAGCTCTTGCGGGCCAGGTTTCTAAACAACAATCGTGAGCCGTACACCAAGAAAAGACGAGAAGTTGGCAGACTGGTAATTAAGGAGAAGCTGTGGGTGAGCAGGGCTGGTAACAAGCTGGAAAGAAGCAGAGACAGGAAAGGAGATGGAAAAGCAGCAGAGGAGGATGAGGACACAGTGCCCAGCGAGAGGGCGAGGTGGAGCAGCGTGTGTGGGAAAAACACAGTGAAGAACATCCTGAAGAAATTCTTAGCTGCCGAAGAAAAAGAAGCCAAGGAAAATTCTCCCAGCTGGAAAAAGAAGGAGCCAAAGAATGGTTTGCCAAAGATAGTCAATAAGAGTGCAGTCCTGTCCAAACTGAAGGAGCAGTTTGAACAAAGCACTCTCCGCTCTGCTGCAGAGGTGAAAGCATCCTTTTTGTGCAAAGGGGAGAAAAAGACCAAAAGCTTCCCAAGCAGAAAAACTATTCGTAAGCCAGAGGTCAGAGTGCTGCGCACAGCAGCAATGACAGCCACGGATATAAACAATCCACACTCCCAGTTTCTGGTGTGCTCCACAGTCCCAGTGCCCAGACTCAGCATGGCTACCAAAATTAACCATCCTTGGAGCTGGTTGAAAAATAACACTGCCAAGCAGCCTTTTGGTCATAACGCACCACTGAAGGAAAAGGGGGGATCTGACAGAGAGCCTGATGAGAACAACATACCAGCAAATGCAGCACAGGACAGGGAGCACAAAGAAGAGTTACCGGTGGCACCCAAGGTCATGTCTGATGCAAAGGACTGTGCTGAGACTAAAATAGATTCCACAAAACAAGGACCCAATTTTAATCCTAATCTAGATAGCTCTTCTAGTACCTGTAAAAACAAAGCTCTTGCAGACTGTGGTCCTCCCTTGTCTGAATGTAGTTTAGACTGTGAGAACAATAATGTACTAGCTGGGCCTGATGAATCTTTACTGGGGATTACCAGTGCTGTGCAACATGTTAAGGAAGATAGTCCACCTTCTAACTCACCTTACTCTAGCACAGCTGAAGAATCCCATGAACCAAGTCCTCAAGATACTAAAACAGGTGAGATTCCTGTAATAACTATGTATGTGTACAGTTCAGAGGAAGCTGACACAGAGCTCACAGAGCCAGAAAAGAATCCTTTATTTACAGTCCAGGAAAGATTTCCAGAGCAGAAAGCACTGGAAAATATTCTGCCACTTCACTCTTCAGGAGTTCAAGCATCTTGTGAAGTTGAGTCTCCAATGGAGGATCAACAGCTAACTGTTGCAACACCAGCCTCTGGCAAAAGGCCACCAATAGTCCAAAAAGAGGCACCAGGTTTAATAGGCAGGTGTTCTGAGGAAGCCAAAAAGGAAGTGAAATATCACAGTGAAGAGAAAATATCCTCTGCTTCTAGCAATAATTATAGTGATGTCCCAATGAAAAATGAAGAGAAGAATAAGATACCCAACAGCCAAATGCAAAATGAATCCAAAACCGAGCAGCAAGAGCCTCTTCAAATGCATAGCCCACAACATAACTTTGTTAATTACCATGGAGACATATCAAATCCAGATGCTGGTCAGATCAAACACACACTTTCCTTAAATGAGAGCAAGGACCAGAAGTCTGGTGCTGCAGAAGAAGAGCAAATCTCTTCTCATTTGGAAAACATGCAAAGCCCTTTGGCAGGTGACCTTATGAGGTACCGTTTCTATATTGCAGAAGAAGATTTTAGGAAGGACAAATCAACGTCATCAAATGAAATGATCAATCATGCAACCAATCAAGCCCTGCACAGGAGTACTTTTACTGACCTGGAGACCTGTCACAAGCCATCTAAATCTTTCATTGAACATGAAGAGAGCACTGCAGATGAGATGACCTGGCCTGACTCTGAGGCATGCAAGTCCCTCTCATCAACTCTTTTGCCAACACCAATGAGTGGGATTGCAGGACAAAGAATCCATCACACTTTTGGAAATCCCCCAGCCCATCCTCCTATTGATCTGGTGAGACAGGGAGCTGATGGTGTGGGAGATAAGCATGCCAGCCATGGCTGTGAGAAACATCCGCCACCCTCTTCAGATGAATTGGCAAACCACGAGAATGATACACAGGTGGAGGAAAAAACCATGTGTGATTTTAAGAACCCAGTGCTGTCCGCGAATCATGCCACGGAAAATGAAAACCCTACAGCTGAAGAGAAAAATACGTGTGAGAGGTTTGATAACTGTCTTTCAACCAAGAAACCAGGAAAACATGAAAATAAAATCACACTCACAAGAAGGCCCCTATTAACCTTGGAGAAGAACCGAACACCAACTTCAGATGATACCACAAAGCAAGAAAGTGATATGCTGGAAAAGAACCTGTCTCCTTCATCAGCTGAATCAGTCTCAGACAAAAAGAAGCACGTGAAAAGTAGAAATAAGGTCTCTGAACATACAAAGGATAAACTCTTGTCATCAGATGATGACATAAAGCATGAGAGTGGTAAGATGGAGGCAGAGTACAGAGAAGAAAGAAATGTCTTGCATAAACTTGAGGATGAGCAAGTATTCACACCAAGTGATACAGTGGATCATGATAATAACTCTTCAAATGAGAAGAATGTTCAAAGACCTCAAACATCCCAGTTACCTTCATCAAAGCATGATAATAACATTCAAGGAATGCAAAATACTGGGCAGAGTTTAAAGCATCTAACACCTTCAAGAGATTTTGTGAAGCACAAACATGATATGACAGTAGATGAAAACATCTGCTGCAATAATGGTAAACACCAACTGTCCTCATCAAATGAACCAATGAAACATGCAAATGACCATGCAGTGCAAAAAAACATCAAGTCAAACTTCAAGAATTATTCAATGCCACCAAGACATACATCAAGGCAAAACAGTAAGACCACTGATGAGGAGAATACCCCTCATAATTTGAAAAATGAACCAACGGAGCATAAAAAGAGTTTTGAAGGAGAGAGGAATATTTCCTGTGATCCTAAAAATCAAATGCCATCATCAAGTCCATTGGTAAAGCAAGACAAGAAATCCCCCCCTCTGGAGACACAGAAACAGATGTCACCAGGTGACTTTGTAAAGCCTGAAAATAAGTCTACTGAAAAAAAGACTAAGCATACCTCTGAGAAGCTCCAGACACCTTCTCCAAATGAAGTGCTAAAGCCTCAGGAAAGAAGTTCTTCAGGAGATGGAAAGCAAAAGTCACCAGCAGCAGAGGACAGCAGATCACCTGAAACAAAGGCTGTGAAAGAGGATAATGAGCACCAGTGTTCTGGAAAGTACCAGCTGTCTTCTTCAAGAAAATCAGCAAAGCAGGAAGAAAACATTCCAGGAGGAGAAAAGCAGCAAAAGAGACCTGAAGATCTTGTGCCACCTGATACAAATGCTGCAAGACAGAAGAACAAGTTGCCAATTTCCAGGAAGTACAGATCAGTATCATCAGAAACTTTGGTTAAGCCTCAGGAAAAAAATACTCAAGAAAATAATACTCCAAAACAACAGGAACAAACATCAACTTCTGTAGGTTTTAAGAAGTCTGGTACTAATGCTGTAAAAGAAAAAGGTGTAGATCCAAATCAGGAGAAGTCACCCTCTTCAAAGGAAGTGGTGAAGCCTCAGGAAAGAAGTTCTTCAGGAGACAGAAAGCAAAAGTCACCAGCAGCAGAGGACAGCAGATCACCTGAAACAAAGGCTGTAAAAGAGGATAATGAGCACCAGTGTTCTGGGAACTACCAGCTACCTCCTCCAAGAAAAGCAGCAAAGCATGAGGAAAACATTCCAGGAGACAAGCAGCAAATGAGACCTGAAGATCTTGTGCCACCTGATACAAATGCTGTAAGAGAAAAGAACAAATTCCCAATTTCCAGGAGGTCAGTATCATCAGAAACTTTGGTTAAGCCTCAGGAAAAAAATGCTCAGGAAAAATATACTCCAAAACAACAGCAACAAACATCAGCTTCTGTAGGTTTTAAGAAGTCTGGTACTAATGCTGTAAAAGAAAAAGATGAAGATCCAAATCATGAGAAGTCACCCTTTTCAAAGGAAGTGGTGAAGTCCCAAGACAAGAATACTTCAGGAGACAGAAAGCAAAAGTCACCAGCAGCAGAGGACAGCAGATCACCTGAAACAAAGGCTGTAAAAGGGGATGATAAACACCAGTGTTCTGTGAACCATGAGTTACCTCCTTCAAGTAAACCATCAAAGTCTGAGAAAAATGCTTCAGGAGGAGAAAAACAACGAACTGTATCTGAAAGTTTTACAAAGTCTGATGCAATTGCTATAAAAGGTAAAAGCAAAGATCCAGGTTCTGGGATGTGCCAGTCCCCATCTTCAAATTTGCTGGCAAAGCTTCAAGAAAAGAACTCCACGGTCACAAAGAAGCAATTGCCACCACCACCTGATGAAAAAACAGTGTATGAAACTGGTAGTCCAGAAAAAAAGAGTGGGCCTGAGAGAAGAGAAAAATACCAGCTATTCTCTTCAGCTCAGTCAGAGAGGCACAGCAATGATGGCTCAGAAAAGGAAGGCCCTGTGGGCAGCTTCAAGAGTTATCAAGCTCCACTGCCAAGTGATGGTATATATTGTAAAAGCAGTACTCTACCAAAACAGACCAATTTGTCCCCCAGATCATCCTCATTTCATGTTGCATCAAAAGAGGAGGAAAATTCGAATGGAAATAGAAAAGGTCAGCCTGGATTTAAAAAGTACCAAGCTCTCTCATCAAAGAATTTGGAGAGGCATGAGAATGATGTTGCAGAGATGGAGGGGAGCTTGCAGGCAGCTGGCAAAACAACTGAGAACTGCGCTAAAGCAGCATCACTCCCAAAATACACAGCAGAAAGCTACAGTGAAAGACCCTTAGATTCATCTTTCAAACCACTGATCATTAGAGTAATTGACACATTTAAACATCACAGCTAAAAAACATGGCTACAGCTTAGGCAAGAACTTACAACTGATCATGCCACCGACTCTCAATCTTTCTTTTTTCCTTTACTCTCCAGGGCATTATATTATCATTTTTTAATCACAAGGACATTGACGCACATCTGTCTGAGCTGGGCTTTTTTCCTTTCTTAAACATTAGCCTGAAGACATGAATTAAATTAATCACTGCAAGTGAATTAGCTAATCACTGAATTAATCATCAGTTTATAAATTAAATATGAGAAAGGCTTTGAGATCAGCATGAATTCAGCCCTGCTCCAGACTCTCCATGCTAACTAATGGGTTTTGTTTGTAACAAAGACCACTGTTCAGAGTGAACTCTATTTGTATTTACTTATTCTAATGAAACTCCACTAGAACTTCTTCCAGGAATGGTGTTAGGCAGTGTCAGCTTTAATTATGTCAAAAAGCACTTGTTCGAAGCTCTGTCTTTTCACAGATTAACAGGAGCTGTTGATCTATTGCTGCACTGAGTGATGCTGTTAACAGAAGTAATGAGGGAAGGAGGGAAATGCTTCATTTATCTGCAGAAAAATCCTTAAAGGACGTTGACACTACAAGAGGGGTTTCTGTGAATGCGAATGTTCAGCCTCATTAATATTAATATTGGAAAAAAATAGTGGTTTAACCTCCTCTTAAGCTATTTGCACTTTGGCCATACACTGTATGTGTTATTGTTGTAAAGATATGCCATTTCAAGGGCTTCTTAATTACTGCAGATGAACATGCAACAAGTGTATGAGCTCAGAAAAGCTCAATGCTGAAAGGCCCTGAGGACCTCTCCTGAGGACAATGTAAGCCAGAAAGATGCAACACCTTGCCAGGGCAATTCAGCTCTTCCTGGGACATCTGTCCCACTTCAAATCATGGGGCACACAGACGTGAGGCAGGTGCTGCTGCTTACATTAAAAGTCTTACAAAGTGTTTATTTTACAACACAATGTGAAACGGAGCATTAAGAAGCAGACAATGTCACTGAATCCTACTAATGGGATATGATTTTTTGTGTTTACAGTAGAAGTGGCTTCTGTGCAAAGTATGTGTGTGATAAATGTTGTTTTGGGAGTTATAGAAAAGTTGTGACAGAGAAATCTTACAGCACCACTCTCCCATACACCAATTTAGCTTCGCATTGTAATCACGCATTTAGGTTAAAACTTAACTGTTAAAACACTGTAGAGGAACCCTAAAGCCGTATCATAAGGACATGCTCTTAGAAAACTGCAGAGCTATCCAGAAAGAGAAAGGGTTTATACAAGCAAGATCCTGCTCCCCCATGGCACTGGTTTCCCATTGATTTTTGAGACGCTCTCCACAACCTCACTCTGTGCAGCTGAGGGCTGGCCGTTCCTCCAGCCTAGGTTGGCAGAGTGCCCCGACCCACTGCCAGCAAGCAAACGAGGACAAGAACAATCTGGCAGCAAGCTGAGATCAAACCCATTTGCCAGCATAATGCACACGAGCCACATATGTGACAACTGGGCTGGTCCGGCCAGGGACGCTGCCGGCAGGGAGAGGGGACACGTACATCCTGTCCCGACTGCTGCAAAGGCTTAGGCTTTGATTTTTTTTTGTTTCCTTCACAACATGACAAGAATTAGGCTTTCTGGAATCCAGAGGGTCACAAAATGAAAATTGAGTATCACACTAATCCTCAAAACAGAGGCTAAACAGGATTTATTGGAGACACAAGACTACCCTTCTATGCAGAGGTGTATTTCACCCACTGAGCTTTAATGAGCTGGCAATCATAAAGGCCACTCTGTACTAAACCCAAACCATAATTTACATTTTATTGTCCACGATTTCATTTCCCATTTGAGAAAAGTCCTTACAACATAAAGCGTTTGCAACAGACTTGAACAGTAAATTCTCTATTAGATGGTTCTCTTGCCAGCGCAGGAGAAGGTGTTTTAATTATTCTTTTTCTAATCTTAAAAAAAAAAAAACTTACAGGGGGATATTTTGCCCCGTATTTACACCTGGAAAGATCACTAGCTTGTAGTAAGTTACACTTCTTCTGTCTGCCAGAAAGTTAACCAGATGTTAAGCATGACACCCCCCCCCCCCCCCCCAGTACAGCTAGGCAGTGGGCACCAGGAGGCTCCCCAACTCTTCCAGTTTACACCTGCAATGACTGTTTCTCTCCAAAGAGATACACCACGAGGAGACTGAAGACACAGCACCCTGTGTTCAGGACAGGTCAGGTGGACTCTCATTGTGGGGGTTGTTACTGCATGCCTTAACCTCTGCTGGTAAGACATAAATCATCCATCCAACTCAATTGACCATTTCTCCCTGAAGTGCACTTAAAACATGACAGACATTTGCAATAAATGCGTCCCTGAGGGTAATGCCTCACTTAAGGAAATAATTTCAGGAGTTAACACAATTAATCCCTCCAGGAAAGGAAAGAGCTCCCTCTCCCGCCCAGTTTATGAAGGGCTGCTCAGTCACGCTGGATGAGTGCTGTCTTCACGAAACTGACTTCTTATTTTTTAAAAGAAAGACGGCATATAAAGCATAGCTACTCTCAGTAAAAAGAGCCCAAGCCCTGAGAAGTTTTAGCCAGTGGAAGAACTTGGGGCCAGTGCTGTACCATGAGACACAACTGGTCCACATCAAAGCTAGGCGATATGTCAGTACTTGCCTCCAAAGGTCAAAACTTTGAAGAAACAGTTGTCCTGGTAGTGCTGCCTGATTCCAAACTGTTCAAATGAAACAAGAAAATAATGAATGCACACTTCTGGCTCTGAACTGTGAAAAAAACTTAATAATTTATCAGCATCTTCTACTGTTGTTTCTCATACAACCTTTAGCACACCGTGCATGACAAAAAAGACCTTAAGTTTTATGATTTGTCTCAGGTTTTCCCCATTGTACTTTTTTGGATGTCAGTGGAGCTGGTAATTGAAGAAAGCACTGTAGAGTATAGAAAAGACTTCATATTAAAATGCATAATGCATTCCCTTCCCCCTTCAACCCCACCCCCCATTTCAGCTTTTTCATTTCCACCTGCAGCTAGCAGTCCCAGCACACAGGGATTATTCAGCCCTTGGGTAAAGCATCCCTCCCAACCCCGAGGTGCCACAGCGGAAATCTCTGGGCTGCTGACGGTGGAAACGCTCCACCTAATGGTCGAATTTGTAAGGCAGGTTGAAAGCAAGTAGTGATGAAAAGCAGAGGAAAAGTGGGAGCAGCGGTGGGAATTTCTTCTCTTATTCCAGTGCTGGTAAGGACTACACACTGTCCAAAAGGCGTTTGTCTGTGTAATCAGAGAAACCAATCAAGTGACAACCGGGGATCCTTATGGATTTTATGGGGAGGGGGTTCTCTGGAACATTAAGTAAATCTGTTACCTGAGAAATAAGCACAGGGGTATTATCAGCTCTTAGAAGAAACAGTTTTATTTCATTTACTGTATGGTTTCCAAAATGCATCAGGTCCTCTATGCTTTATTTCTCCTTTACATTTCCACAAGCATCTTTTTACAGAATGAAATATTTTTCAGTCCCTGATGAGAACTTTCAACACAGGAAAAATATCTTGCTGGGCATCTGCTTTCCTGCCAACTAAAAATTATTTTGTGTACTGAATATCCAAAGGATCAGCAGGTCAGTTTTTTACCTCTTACAACCTTGAAGGATGTGAAACAGCTTTGGAATTGCTACACACCTCCTGTTACTGTACTTGCTTTGTCTTTAATGTGCCTTCAGTTGCTTGTACTCTGCTGAGCTGCAGGTGCGAGCACAACTTTGTACGATGGTGGGATTTTCACTTGGCAAGCAAGCGCTACAGCAGGCTTTCAGTGATGCTTGTCATGCAACAGCAGAAGTGTACTGCCAGGGGGAAAATTCCCTGAGAAAATAAAGCCATAGAAATCTATGAAGTGGTTATCCTCAAAAAGCCACCAAATAGTTCTTAGGGCCTGTATTTTAAAAAATGGCTAGTGCCTCTGAATATCCAACATGGAACATCTTATAGAAGGATCTGATTTTTGGGAGGATTGCTCAGCACTTGCTCTCTGAAAATCAAGTTTCTTTCATAAGCTGCTTCTTTAGGCAGCCAAACCCCTTTCTAAAAGAATTGACCCAGATTTTTGAGAGTTTCACAGGCTTCACAGGCACCTGTTTGCTCCTGCATCTACAAAAAAAAGGCTGTGAATAAAGACTTGGTGTGCAGGATCCAGCCAGCTGGCTGGGTGAATGCAGCCAGTGCAGGTTGCTTTTACCTCAAGAAATTGCAAACAGTTTCTGCAGACCACATACCTTTTAGGCCTGCACCATGGCAGTTGCTAAGCCAGTCCTTGCAGTGTGGTGAGAGAGTTTTGGTATAGTTGAGATGAGCCTATAAGGAAGGTAAATCCTTCCCATTACTCCCCAAGGCTTCTGGAAGGAATCAAAGAAAGCAAGCTCTTGGACACTGTAGAGCCAGTCCATTCTTACCAAGAAACAACTGTGTTTAGTCAAGTTGCACCATCAGAGCAGAATTCTTGTGTCCCTTGGGATTCATACGAACACAACGGACTACCTAAAGGCAGCTCTGGATTGCAAATCCTGGTTACTGAGATATTTCATTCTTCAAAAGAATGGGAACAGTGAGGGCAGTGGTTATCCAAGCAGCCAAATAAGGTCCCACCAAATGTATCTCAGCTCTAACTGTCTCCAGGCTCCAGGACACTTATCAGAAGCAAAAAAAAAAAAATCCCCAAAAGACATCTTCTTTATTAACTCATTCAAATTACACCCATCATGTAACAAGAAAGTCTGTACCATTGTCATACATTACAGATTTCTTAATAAAACTGTTTTCCTTCTTAGATGAGTTACTTGTTTGTACCACTGAGTCTTCTGTGCTGAGAAGATAAAATAAAAGCATACAAAATAACGATCTTGTAATCATCCTGTCATTATCAAGGAAGGAGCATGAGAAACAAAGACAAACAGCGCCTGTAAGTATCTCATCAGTATGCAAACTGTTTCCTTGTGCCCAAGGGAGCTGACACATGCTGAGTTTCATGGGACAGCTGCGAATAGGTAGAAAACATGAATCATTTATTATGCAAATGTTGTGGCCTTGAAAAGAGCACAACAAGATGCATTTTCTGCAGCTTGCTCCTTGCTACCCTGTCCTCTCTGGCTCCTCAGACCCAGGCAAAGAGCAGGCTGTGTGACAGGCAGGTGACTTCGGCCACTGGAATAGGAGCAGTGTCGGGCTAAAGACCAGGTTGGTGGGAATAACCTCCTCCTGCCATGCTGCTCACCAGGAGGTGGTGGCCGGCCAGGGCTGCATGACCTGACATGACTGCCTGTCTTGTTTTTGCTTGACAATGGGAATGACTAAATGCTCACCTGAAACAAACCTGGTGCCCTAGCAGAGCTGGATCAGGTTTTGCTATCTGTGATTCGAGGCTGGCAGGACAAGCCAGTTACCTGTTGACTGCATCAGTGCGTCAGAGGTGCAGAAAGGCCTCTGGCAGCTACTCCTTCATATATAACCTTTAAGGAAACAGCATTGACTCACTCTTCTTCCAAAACCACCACTGATCCTCACCTCCCTTTTAGCTCTTTCAGTTAATTCTCCAGGTGATGTGTAGGTGAGATGGCCACAGAATGGGAGAAGTGCAGTGGAGAGAGAACCCACATGAGCACACAGATTATCAGAGTGGTCCCGTACACATGCAACTTTTTTCAGATGTATATTTAGATGAGTTGCAACTCCCCTGTTAATACCCAAAAGGATGCTAGCAGTTGCTCAAGGACTTCTGATGTTTCTATGGTGTTTCTCTTCACTGGTTCTTACAACCCATGTTTGAAAAAGTCACAAAGGGTGCATGTAAAGCATTTGGGAGCACAAACCCTTGCAGAAGCAAGTCTGAATCTGAATCTCACTAAGAATTAGAAGAAACAGACTTGGTACGACATGGAGTCAAGCATTTAAGCATAAGCTGTTCCTAAGAAAATATAATAGTTCTGACGTTAGAAGAATCAGCTTCTTTCTATGCCTTGCTTTTCCATCTCCCTAATGGGAAAGAATGAATTTGCCCCTCACTTTGGT